GAAGCAGGCTTCCCTAAGAGCAGAGAGCCCGACGTGGGACTCGATCCCAGGACCCCGGGATCATGACCTGAGCCGAAGGCAGCCGCTTAACTGACTGAGCCACCCAGGCGTCCCTCTCTCACACTTTCTTTCTCTCTCTAATGAATAAGTAAAATCTTTAAAATAAATAAATAAATAAATAAAAACCCAATGCAAACAATAAGAAAGTGCACTGGCACGTATAACCAGCAATCCTGAGGAAGGGAGTGCCTCTGTGTTGGCTTCAGTGTTTCTCTTAGTTTACCTTCTTCAGGTTGGTACCAAGATGGCTGCTACAGTTTCTCACCAGAGCCACAGCACAGGAAGAAAAGAGAACACTTGCATGCCAGCCTTTCGAGCAAGGGGACTGAGATTCACTCTGATTTAGAATATTGTTAATATGCTTATCCCTGAACCCATGGCTATTACAAGGGGAATAGAATGAAAGATATGTATTTTTAAAGATTTTATTTATTTGAGAGTGAGTGAGTGGGAGGGGGAGGGAGAGAGAATCTGAGGCAGACTCCACACTGAGCACAGAGCCCAACATGGGGCTCAATCCCAAGACCGCAAGATCATGACCTGAGCTGAAACAAAGAGTTGGACGCTCAACCGCCTGAGCCGTCCAGGTGCCCCAGAATGAAAGATATTGATGTCTTAAGCCAACTCCAGAGCCTGAAGTTGAGGTTGGGGCAGCTTCCCTCCTAGGAACATGAATATATGTTAGGAAGAAAAAAGGAGCAGATGAGGATGAATAACAACTAGAAAAATTGACTGCCTCATATCCAGCTCAGAAATATTGAAAAAGTTTTTTAGGAGATATGAAAGCCATCCATTGAGGAAAAATTAATGTGGAGCAAGAGCAGATGGGTTTTCCTTCCAGCATTAGTTCTTAGGACCTGCTAACCTGCTGGCTCTAGAACTTTCATCCATACCTCATTGCTTTTGTGGGAACATCTCAGCAAACACATTTTTTTTTGAGGTATAGTATATTTATAATCAAGATACACCATTTCATTCATTTAAATATTTACTGAGACCCACTTCATGTCTTTTAGGCAAAGGGAAGAGTGTGGGCAAAGAAAGCATGTATGAGGGGAAAATGATAAACTTCTAATATAAATAGTTTGATGTCTCTGGAGCATAGCCTGTGAGGGAGTGATAGGAGAGAAGCTGGAAAAATAGAATGGGATCAGATCATAAAAGTCTTTGGCCGGGCAGTTCTTGTTTCAGCTTAGTTATTGAGGTAAAACACAGACAATAAAGCGCATTAAGCTTGAGCCAACATCTCAGTGAATTTTTACATATGTATATACATCCATATAATCACCACCCAGATCAAGATCTAAAATATTTCTAGCATTCCAGAAGATTCCTTCATGCCTTTCCCAGTCAATCCCCATCCCCAGTGGGAACACTGTTCTGGCCTCAATTGCTATTAATTAGTTCAGTCTGTTCTTAACCTTCATAGAAGTGGACTTATACAATTTATACCCTTTTGTATCTGGCTTCTTTTACCCATTGTAATGATCATGAGATGTCTCTGTGTTGTGGAACTTACGAGACTTTGTTCATTTTCAGGCTCCATAGTATTTCATTGAACGAAAATCCAGCAACTTGTTTATGCAGTTTCTAGTTGACAGCCATTTGGGTTATTTCCAGTTTTGTGCTAGTGTGACTATAGCTATTGTGAACATTCTTATACATGTCTTTTGGTGAACATATGTACTCATTTCTCTTGGGTATATACCGAGAAGTGGGTAGGCACATTTTTGTTTTAGTAGGTACTTCCCAACAGTTCTCCAGAGTGGCTGTATCAAGGGAGTTTTGACTTTCGCCTGAGGAAGACTGGGAGTGGTGTGATGAAATTTATATTTTAGTCCGGCAGCCACTGTGAAAGATGCACTGAAGGCGGGTGAGGTTGGAGACAGGGATACCAGTAAAGAATCACAGACCAGGAGCAATAGACCAGGTGAGGGATGATGAGGCCCTGAGCTCTGGAAGCTTGTATGGAGGGAGAGGATGGCTTTGAGAGATGATAAGAAGGTAGAGTTGACATGATTGTTTGGATGTGGTAGGGAGAGAATGGAGTCCAGGATGACTGCTGGGTCTCTGACTTGGTGTTGGCAGAATGGTGGTGCCCTTTTCAGAGAGAGGGAGCACTTGGGAAGGAGAAGGTTTGAGGGAGAAGATGAGCTCTGTTTTGAACATCTTGAATCTGAGAGACCTGTGCAAGATCAAGGTGGAGGTATCCAGTAGGTAATTGGATACATAGAACTGAAGCTATGGGAAGAGATCCAAGCTGGAGATTTCTATTATGGAAGCAAGGGAATGAGTGAACCATCAGGGAGGAAGGAGGTGTAGAAAGAGGATCCCAAGAAGATGATTGAGAAGGCATTTCCTGAGAGGTAGGAGGAAAACCAGGAGCTTGCCTGCTGTGATGAAAATCCAGGGGAGGGACAGTTTCCAAAAAGAGTTTCCAAAGGCTGCTGAGGAGTCAAAAAAGATGGGCACTGAAAGGTGTCTGGTGAATACAGAGTTTAACCTAGCCGTCCATGGTGCAGAGGCACCCAGGGTCTTCTGCCTCCACAGTCTCTCTCGTGCCAGAAGCCTACACCAGTGCGGTGGGGCTGATTGGGCTCTCTTTCCCCTCAGGTCCTGAGCCTGAGGGAAAGGAGAGGGAGAGGAAGAGGCAGATTCAGCCTCAGTCCAGGGACAGTGGCTGTGGCCTCTCAGAGAAGTTTGTGGGGATCTCAGCTGGACAATAGAAGGCAGACGTCAGCTAGTGCAGGGCCCACTGAGTCCCTCCCGACATTGGAACACCGAAAACATTGACATTTGAATATAAACTTCCCCTGGAGCCTTTCCCCTATGGAAATTTCCAGTTGTAAACCATACGGACTTTAATCTGAAGTGTCAGAAAGATTGCCCAGGAGTCTGGGAGCCAACCAGCTGAAAGCACATTTGTATGGAAGTCGGGGCAAACAAAATAGAATTCAGAACATTTTTTGAGATTTGTGCCAGTGGTGAACTTTTCCAGGAAACATGACAAAAACTGACCCTCTTAGGCAAAAAAGCACTGGGTCTTATCATAATTAATTTGTATTCTTACTGAAACATGAACTTGGGGGAAAAGATGAAGGGAAAGAACAGCACATGTCTTATTTCTTTACCAGGCACACGGGGCTGGAGGAGGCTCCCGTAGAACTTAATGGGCAGCTTTATGTATTTATATGCTTTGACTGGAGCTAAAGAGGTCTGTGCCACACAATGGGCAGTTTCTAGTTGGATTTTAAAAGAAAATAACTTTGATCATTTCAAAAGCAATGAAGCCTGATGCAGCGCAGAGAAAAGAAAGCGGTAATTTATGGCTACCATTAAGGACACAAAGACAAAGGCGGAGGGAACGTTTCACTAAGTGAAGATTTACAAATGTGTAAAAACCATCCTTATGGCTAGAAATAGCTGAGTGTCTCTCTCGGTACCAAACAAAAGGGGATAGGAGGGAGGGGCAAAAGACAGAAAAAGGGATGCAACCTGCCTGCCTTCACTGGGGATGAAAAGGTCAAAAGAAAAACAACCACAGAGAAGTTATTTTCTTAGATTCTCCATCCAGCAGCAGCATAAGCAATGAAGGCCCAAAGAGGCATTCTTCGCCTAGGCCCATGGGCATGGGAAAGACAGAGGCAGCAGATGGGGGGGAGGGGGGATGTGTGTGCTACAAAGAGGGGCGCTCTGGAAAGGGGATGGACCCTAGGAAGACATGTTCTTGTGCATGAGCTAGGTGGGTATTTTCTATGACGTTTCTTTTTTTTCCTGATTACCAAAGGGGTGTGTGTGTGTGTGTGTGTGTGTGTATTCACTATTCATATATATTCATGATTAAATTTTCTCCTGTAAATATATACACACGTACACAAACATGTATGTTTGTATGTATGTATGTATGTATATGTATGCGTAGGAGAAAATGTAATAAATAAAGAGAAACTGATTAAAACCCCTCAGTTTGGTGTTCAACAGCAGCATCTCGGAATCGTTGTTGCATTTGTTCCTGGAGTGATGCCGAGTGTAGTGGGCTCCATCATCAGTGGCAAGGGGAGGTATGGGAAGTCTCTGTATGCACATGTGCCCTTGTAGGGACTGTCTTGCTTGGAGGGCCAGCTGACAGGCGCTGCCTGTATTTGCAGTTGGCCAGACCTGATGTTTATGAGTTCAGGTGGTCATAGATACCACCCGTGACCCAAGCAAAACTGGTGCGCTCTCTTGTCCCTGCTGGCTCACCTTTGACTGCTAGCCCCCTTTCCCTTCACCTTCTAGGCTCCCCTGTAGATACATTTAACTAGTGTTGAGTGAGATGAACATTTTCTGCTGTGATTCTAGGCCCAGCAGTGTACCAGAGAGGAACAGTCCTAAGCATGAGGGGTGGTGGGACAGGTGGTTGGGCCACTGCTTGGGGCTGGGGATCACAGAAGGCCTGGCCTGGGCAACATGGAGAAAGGTGCAGCATGCATGTGAAGGTGAGCAGCGATCCGATGTTGCCCTCTCCCCTGAGTCTCCTGAGGGTCAGAAGTATGTGGAATTGCTCACTCCGACCACATTACCCGTCCCAAGTGGAGAGGTGGGAAAGCCCCAGAGGTGGCTTTAGGGTTTGGGGATTATAGGATTCTGAACTACACAGGACAATTTCTGGGAGCCTCCTGTTGGAATATTTCAGGCCAGAGTGTGCTGTTTGTCCCACAAGAGGGACTGGGTCAAGTCGTAGGACACTGCAAACGGCGGAGCACGAGGCTCTGGGGGCTGGAGCGGGGCGGGCGTGCGGGAGCAGCGGGTCTGGTGACAGGGCCTGCACTGGGGACGCGGGCCTGCCCGGCCAAGCTGACAGCCGCCCTCCGGCCACCGCGGCCGCGCCCCCTCCGCCCAGCGCCCGGAGGGGGAAGGGAGGGGGCCGGGAGGGGCGGCACTGCCCCCGCGCCGCCCGCCCCGGCCCCGGGGAGGACCGTGTGAAAATGAGGCCGGGGCTCGGGGGCCGGGCGGGGCCGGGCCGGGGGTGTCAGAGCGCGGCGGGCAGGGCGCCCGCACACACCTCCCGGAGCCGCCGCCGCGCTCGCCGTCTCTGCCCGCAGCCGCCGCGCCACCCATGGGGGTCTTGGGCCGCGGCTGCCCCGGGACGGCCCGGGCGCTGCTGTCGCTGCTGCTGCCGCCGCTGCTGCTGACCGCGGCCGTCCCGCCCGGCCCGGGCCGCGCCCCGGGGCCGCCGGAGGGTGAGTGCCCGCACCTCCGGGGCCTCGGCACGCACCTGGCAGAGGCGGGCGGGGCCGGCGCCGGGACGGGGTCCAGGGTCTGCCCCCCAGCCCCCCGCGGGGTCGCGCCGCGCGGGGCGGCCCGGGCCAGGGCTTGGCTGCGGGAGCTCCGCGTGGCCCCCGCTCCCCTGGGGCCTCACCCGCGGGCCAGGCCAAGGCGCCGCCACCGCCTGCGCTAGAGGCCCAGGGCCTGAGTGCCGCGGCCCGGCCTCGGACCCGGGGCTGATGACAGTCCCGCCCCGGTTCCGCTGCCCGGGGGCGCCGGAGAGCGCCTGCTGGGCAGACTCTCGCCCGCTGAGGAGCACGGAGAGCACCCGACTCTCGGCGGTCCAGCTCCTCCTGTGTGCAGATGGGGAACCTGAGGGTCCCGACCGCGGTAGCTCCGTGAGGTTGTGGCAGCTTTGCTCCGTCTTTCTTCCGGAGCCGGGAAGTTCTGTGGGCTTCAGGGTCGGCTCCAGAGAGTTTTCTATCTGCGGAACAGGCGCCGGTTGAGGATCCGGGAATACCGTGAGCCTTAAGCCGCAACAAACCTGGGTTTTCCCGGCGGCCAGAGAGAAGTACCCTGGACGTTGTGCGTTAACTGGACTTGCAGTCATTTCAAAAACGTTTGTTTTTAATTAACATCCTCGAGTGGTGTCAATGCAGGAAATACTTCAGGCCAAGGCCGGTTTCCAGGTTGAGAGGGCGGGCAGCGGTTGATGGGGTGTGGAAACCATTCCCACTTGGCGCCATCTGAGAGCTCAGGATGGTGTGCTCAGAGCCCAGGGCAAGCTTTTCCCGTATACCCCTAGCCCCGAGAAAGCTGACACTGCTTGGTTTCCAGGTTTTGCTTTTTTCGTTTTGTTTCGTTTTTGCCAACCTGGTCTCTTCCTTCGACAGGCATTTATTACTGCCTACTCATGTGCCTGGCACAGTGCTTGGCATCAAGGGCACAGAGTCTGTAATCAAGACACCATCTAGAGGGGGGGACCGGCAGGAAAACAGTGACAGTCCTGTGTGATATGTGCTATGAAAGGAGATAAATATGGCAGCGGGTTGTGGGGGACACCACCTCCACTGGGGGATCACAATAGGCTCCCTGGAGAAGGTAGATTGGAGCTGAGTCTTGCAGGCGAGTAGAAAGGGTGTGTGGGGGGTAGTCTAGTGAGAGGGAACAGAAGTCTGGAAGTGGAGTGGTTCATCCTAGGGGCTCCTGAGGAGTTTAGCTGATGAGGAGTGGGGTGGGCTGGTGGGAGATGAAGCTAAAGGAGGGCCGACGCCAGATCTCGAAGGGCTTGGGGCATGGTACCAGGAGCTTGCTGTGCTCTTTTGCAGATGTGGATGAGTGCGCCCAAGGGCTAGATGACTGCCACACCAACGCCCTCTGTCAAAATACACTCACCTCCTACAAGTGCTCCTGCAAGCCTGGCTACCAAGGGGAGGGCAGGCAGTGTGAGGGTAAGTGACTTGGGGACCGGTGGTAAGTGGGCCAGCAGGTGAAGCTCCCCACCCCCTCAGCTCTTGTAGTGGCCACTCATGCTGGTAAAAGTGCCCCTCCACTGCCCCCCACGTCATACCACCTACCTTCTGAAATACATTTCAGACCCTTAGAGCACTAGGAACATTATAACGGTCTTCCCTAGAGCTGATCATACAGTTTTATGTGGTTCCAAAATGTCCTTTTGTCTAGCTTGTGTAAAGGAAAAGAGGTGCTTTAGTATTTTTGGTCCCACTCAGTTTGGGGGCAGAAAGTCAACAGTCATATGGATCAGGAGAGCCACGCCTGCCAGAGAAGGGCTGATCCTTCACCTCCCTGGGGCAGTTTACACCCATGCCCTGGAGTCCGAGGGCAGGAGTCCTGCCCTCCACTGCTGGCTCTGGAGGGTCCATCTTGTTCATGGCTTTGGGCTGTTTGGCGTTGTGACCTCCCAAGCTTTAGAGCTATACCAAGGGCCTGCCTCATTTGGAGTGGCATGCTCACCCTGGAAAGGTGTGCAAAGGGATATTTTAAGCCCTTAGAGTTCTAGATCTTTGAGCCTAAAGTCTGGACTCTGCCATCTTGTGTTCTGGGCCAGTGTCATGAACTCTGAAATATAGAACTGGCCAGAGACTGGGCACTCCTAGGAGGAGGCTATTCCTGGGGATGGAATCATGGCATGTTGGAGGTGGCAGGGCTCTTCTCTTTCAGGGAGCTCTGAGGCATTCCCATCCCTCAGATGTGAGACACTGAGGCCCCGGGGGAATTGGGAAGGGGACTTGTGGCCATAATCACACAGCTAACCAACAGGTTGAAGAAAGTCAGATGTCTACCCTAGCTCTGTCCCTGGACCCTTACCTCTTGGATTCACTCAGCCTCCTGGTGTCCTTCTTTGGTGGGTGAGAAATCCTGATATTTATATTTTCCTTTGTGCGTGAGGAGCAAAACTTGTTTCTCCTATCAGAGGAGACATACTCCTGGTCAGGTTCATAGCAAATGGGGTTGGTAGTCCATCCTTAAAGCCCTCGTGTTTCTCTAAGATCATGTTCTCCCAGAGACAGGCAGCCATCTCTCTCTGTCTTACATCATGGGAGGCCAAAAGGCTACCTCTCTCTGAAACATCTCTCTGCCGATTCCTCTGTACCACATCCTCACTACTTACAGAACGGGAACTCACACATGTTCATACCCTGCTTGGGGAAAAAATGTTTACTTTTTCACTGGTTTTCTGTATAGTCTTTGGGAGTGGGGGAGGGGGCAGAAACTGTGCCATGGTTTCTTTGAGATAGAGTACATATTTAGCAAATGATATAGAATGACAGGTGGCAAGAATTTCTTTGTTCTTAGCTGTTGGGCTTGACATATGACACATGAAACTGAATTACTGACAGTTTATCCTTGAAAAGTCTACTATTTAGGGGTGCCTGGGTGGCTCAGTCATTGGGCGTCTGCCTTCGGCTCAGGTCATGATCCCAGGGTCCGGGGATCGAGCCCCGCACCAGGCTCCCTGCTCTGCGAGAAGCCTGCTTCTCCCTCTCCCACTCCCCCTGCTTGTGTTCCCTCTCTCGCTGTGTCTCTCTCTGTCAAATAAGTAAATAAAATCTTTAAAAAAAAAAAAAGAAAAGTCTACTGTTTAGTTTAAAATAACTAATGAATGACTGGAGTTGTTGCTTTTATATATTTAAATTGGCTTTAAAATAATAATATATATTGTTATTATAAAAAGTCAAACAATACAGAAAATGTATGAAATAGAAAATCAAAGACCCTCTTACTCCTTTATCCACAGGTAATCACTGTTAACAGGGAGCATATATTTCTTGTAGTGTCATTGAAAACTAAAACTCCAGAGGGATATGATCTTTTACATACTTGTAATACTTTTGAATACCTATAAAGCTAGTGAGTAAGGATGTCCCTGTTTAGTTCGGATTTCTTGGTGCCAGAGTCGAGAAGCAGAAACATTCTTCCAAGAAGGAAAAGGAAAGAAAATGAAGATTGCAAGGATTTGAAGATGTAGATATTTGAAGATGTGACTCTTTTATGTGTATTCCTTGGCTTACTGGTTTAAACCTCTCGGGTCCAACCCCTGATACCGTTTCTGTTGTGTTTATCGTCAGCTTCGCTGCTGCTGTTTAAGTATAAGGATGGGAACTGGGTTTGCCCAGAGTGACCAGAATTTTATCTTCTATAGTTTCTTCTGCCAAATTATTGGAAAAATGAAAATATGGGCCCTGAATAAGTATTTTGAAAATAATATGATTCCAAAGTGGCTTTGAAGAAATGAAGTTTCATTCTAAATGATCTTTGTTTATATCCCAGACTTTGGGGATGGGGCATTTCAGTGGTCAGTGTTCATTGTATGGTTCTTACTTCTCAGTCTAGGGAACTGAATCAAATTTAACAAGGATGAATCTAAACGTGGCCTTTGTATTGAGGAGCTGTGTGTTTTTGTTTTTAAGATTTTATTATTTATTTGACAGAGAGAGACACAGAGAGAGAGGGAACACAAGCAGGGGGAGTGGGAGAGGGAGAAGCAGACTTCCTGCCAAGCAGGGAGCCCGATGCGGGGCTCGATCCCAGGACCCTGGGATCATGACCTGAGCCGAAGGCATATGCTCAATGACTAGCCACCCAGGTGCCCCGAGGAGCTGTGCTTTAAAAAAAAAAAGAAATTTTGGAATGATTTTAAATTTCATGAAAGTTGCAAAAATAGTGCAGAATTCACATATGCCCTTTGCTTATCTAACCCTGATGTTAACAGCTTATATAACCACAGTACAATATCAAAACCAGGAAATTAACATTGGCACAATACTTCTAACTAAACTAGAAACCTTAGTCAGATTTCACCAGTTTTTTCTTAATGTTCTCCCCCACCAAGGCCATTCCAATTCAGAGTCCCACATTATGTTTAGTTGTTGTGTCTCCTTTGTCTCCTCCAATCTTGACAGTTCCTGTCTTTCCTAGTTTTTCATGACTTCGACACTTTGGGTAAGTACTGCTCAGTTCTTTTGTTTACCTTGTTTTCTCATGTTAAGAATTGATACGGTAGAAATTGACCCAGTAAGAGAATGTCCCTTGTTTTCTCACAATAAAATTAAGATTATGCATTGTAGTAATACAAAAAGTAAAGCTTTTGGCAGTACTGCTATGGAAATGCTGTTGTGTGCTTTTTGGCACATCCCATGGTGGGAGGGGGATTGGAGGGTGAGGCACATGACATTAATATGTGCCATTACTAGCGATCACGTGGTTAAGATGATACACCCTGGGTTTCTCCACTGCAAAGTTACTATTTCTTCCTTTTGTAATAAACACACATCTTAGGGCAGATACTTTCAATCTATGCTAATATCCTGTTTCTTCTCACGTCTTTGCCCACTGATTTTAGCATCCAGCTGTGGATCTTGCCTGCAACAGTTATAACTATGATGTAATAACTGGTAATTTTGTTTTTCCCTCATTCCTTATATGTCTGTTGACTGAGATTCTTCTGTAAGGAAGATCTTTTTCTTCTCCCTTGTTTATTTATGCATTGATTTATGTATTTATGCCAGTATGGACTCATGGGTATTTAATTATTTGTATAGTAATTTATTTTGGGCTCAGATTATTCCAGCTTTAGCCATTGGGAGCTCCTTCACATTGTTTCCTGTGTCCTTTTGACATGCTCTCATCCTTTTTTGAGAAATTTCTAGTTTTCTAGTACCATAAGATACCACAGATTCATCTTGTATTTTCCCTTCCCCAGCCCTGGAACCAGGCACTTCTCCAAGTAGCCCTGGTTCCTTTTATTGGGAAATGGTACATAGAAACCAAGATCTGGATGCTTGGTGTTCTCATTGTTACTGGGATGTCATTGCTCCTAGGCTTTCTCCGTGCACAAACCTAGGAAATATATGTATGTATCCTAACCCACACATATACATTTATCTATATTTATTCCTTCTATATATATCCATTCACAAATATATTAAAAACAATGACTTACACTGATGCTTTGGATTCCAAAGCAATGCCCCAAGTTTTACTCAGTCTCCCTCTTTGCTTATTTGTAACTTCTTTCTCCAACAGTGAGAAAGGTGGCTCTCATTATCTGCAATATAGTTAGTTGTCTGTTTATTCAATCCAAGTATACACATAAATAATTTATAAAGCTATTCCATAGCCTTGCAAGTAAAACAGATTTACTAATTAGAGTATAGTATCTGTATACAGCTCTTTTTATTTTTAGCCTTAGAACATTCAGTCAAGGTGTTTTTCAAAGTGACTTGGCTAGTACTTTTCTTCTTCGTTTCCTTCAGTGTGGTTGTTATTCATTTGTTATACAGCTAAGTTCATTTGTTTCTCTTTGTATCCCATTTTTATCTGTTCCCTCCCCCCCCCACCTCTGTATACTGGTTGATTGTATGTATGTACATAAGTACATAGGTATGTCCTTGTGTATGTATGTATTCATGAATATATCACTATGGTTCCGAGAGTCAAAACTATACAAAATGACATACCCAGAGAAGTATTACTCCCTTTCCCCATTCCTGTTCTTCTGTTCCTCATTCCTCCTTTTCATCCTTTTCCCACATACCATGGATCACCGATCTCTCTAGTTTCTAGATAAACCTAGTTTATCCTCCCTGCTTCCTAGATTTCTTTTGCAAATAAATGTGTATTTTCTTTTCCTTTCTTTTCTCTTCTTTCTTTTGAGAAAACGAGAGAGAGAGAGAACAAGTGTGAGTGTGGGGGTGGGGAGGGCAGAGGGAGAGAGAGAGTCTTAAGCAGTCCCCATGCTCGGTGTGGAGCCTGACGCAGGACTCCGTCTCAGGACCCTGAGATCATGACCTGAGTTGAAATCAAGAGTCAGACGCTTAACTGACTGAGCCACCCCATGCTCGGTGTGGAGCCTGACGCAGGACTCCGTCTCAGGACCCTGAGATCATGACCTGAGTTGAAATCAAGAGTCAGACGCTTAACTGACTGAGCCACCCAAGCACCCTGATAAATGTGTATTTTCTTTTGAACTACTTTAGTGAATTCTAATTTATATACCATAGAATCCACCAATTCAGAGTAAGTCTACAAATCAATGATTTTGAGTAAATTAGCTGAGTTGTGCAACTATCACATAATATAGTTTTCAAACATTTTCCTCGTCTCAATAAGAGCCCGATTCCCAGCCTCAGCTCCGGACAACCACTAGTCTACTTCCTGTCTCTACAGATTTGCATTTTCTGGGTATTTCATATAAATAGAATCATACAATATGTGGTCTTTTGCTTTTGGCTTCCTTCACATAGCATGCTTTTGAGGTTCATCCATGTTGTAGCCTATACTGGCATTTTATTCCTTTTTATTGTTGACTAATAATCTATTGTATGGATATACCATATTTTGTTTATCCATCCACCAGTTGATGGATATGTGGGTTGTTTCTACTTTTGGGCTATCATAAATAATGTCACTGTGAACATTTACCTGCAAATCTTTGTGTGGACATAATTTTTCATTTCTTTTGGATATATACCTAGAAGTATGAAGAAATTTCTAGATTGCATGGGAAATTTGTTTAACCTTTTAAGAAACTGCTACATTGTTTCCAAAGTGGCTGTGCCATCTCACATTACTATCAGCAGTGTATGAGGGTTCCCATTTCTCCACATCCTCATCAACATTTGTTATTGTCTGTCTTTTTTATTCAAACTGTTCTAGTGAGTGTGAAATGGTGTCTCATTGTGGTTTTAATTTGAATTCCCATAATAATTAATGATGTTGACCACCTTTTCATATGCTTATTACCCATTTCTCTATCCTTTTTGGTGAAATGTCTATTCAAATTGTTTGCCCATTCTGAAATTGGGTTGTTTGTCTTATTATTGTTGTGAGAGTTCTTTGTAAGTCCTTTATGAGGTATGTGATTTGCAAATATCTTCCACCAATCTGTGGCTTGTCTTCATTTTAATTAATTATTTATTTATTTAAAAGATTTTATTTATTTATTTATTTGACACAGAGAGAGAGACAGCGAGAGAGGAAACACAAGCAGGGGGAGTGGGAGAGGGAGAAGCAGGCTCCTTGCTGAGCAGGGAGCCCAATGCGGGGCTCGATCCCCGGACCCTGGGATCATGACCTGAGCCAAAGGCAGACGCTTAATGACTGAGCCACCCAGTCGCCCCTTATTTATTTATTTTGTGTGTGCGTGTTTAAGATTTTATTTATTTATTTATTTACTTAGGAGCACACACAAGCGGTGGTGGGGGGCAGCAGGCAGAGGGAGAAGCAGGCTTCCTGTTGAGCAAGGAGCCCGATGTGGGACTCAAACCCAGGACCCTGGGATCGTGACCTGAGCCAAAGGTAGACGCTTAACCGACTGAGCCAGCCAGGCGTCCCTTAAAAGTTTAAAAGTTGTAAATTTTTGGGTGCCTGGGTGGCTCAGTCGTTAAGCGTCTGCCTTCGGCTCAGGTCATGATCCCAGGGTCCTGGGATCGAGTCCCACATCGGGCTCTCTGCTCGGCAGGAAGCCTGCTTCTCCCTCTCCCACTCCCCCGCTTGTGTTCCTGCTCTCGCTATCTCTCTCTCTGTCAAATAAATAAATAAAATCTTAAAAAAAAAAAAAAAAAAAAAAAAAAAAGTTGTAAATTTTTATAAAGACCAATTTATTAATTTTAAAACTTATGAATTGTGTGTTTGGTGTTGTATAATCCAAGGTCTCGGATTTTTCTCATAAAAGCTTTATGTTTTCTCTTAAAAGTTTTATGGTTTTAGTTCTTACATTTAGGACCCTGATCCATTTTCGTTGATTTTTGTGTAGGTGTGAGTTTAAGGGTCTAAATTCATCTTTTTGCATATGGACAGTTGTCTCAGCACCATTTGTTGAAATGACTATCATTTCTCCCAATAAATTGCCTTAGCACTCTTGTCTAAATCAAGTGACCATAAATATAATGTTTATTTCTAGACTCTCTATCCTGTTCCATTGATCTGTATGTTTTTCTTTATGCCTGTACCACACTATTTTGATAACTGTAGCTTTTTGTAAGTGAAAGTCCTCCAAATCGAGGGAAAGTTCTACTTTTTCAATATTGTTTTGGTTCTTCTGAGTCTTTTGCATTTCTGTATACATTCTAGGTTAAGCTTGTCAAGTTCTGCCAAAAAGCACACTGGAATGTATGTATTTTTCATATTCCTTGATTTTTTTTTACATGATAATAAACGACAGATTGCAGTATTGGTTTTTTTTGCATTTTGATTTTTTTTTAACTTAGTAGTATATCCTAGAAATCACCCCAAATCAGTTCATAGAGATCTTTCTCATTTTTTTTTTCAACAGCTGCACAACACTTCATCGAATAAATGTACCATAGTTCTTCAGCTACTTTCCAATGTGTGGGCCAGTTAGGTTGTTTCTAGTATTTTGTTTTTTGTTTTTTAAGATTTTATTTATTTATTTGACAGAGAGAGAGAGAGCGAGAGCAGGAACACAAGCAGGGGAAGTAGGAGAGGGAGAAGCAGGCTTCCCGCAGAGCAGGGAGCCCGATGTGGGGCTCGATCCCAGGACCCTGGGATCACGACCCCAGCCAAAGGCAGATGCTTAACGACTGAGCCACCCAGGCACCGCTGTTTCTAGTATTTTGTGATTACAGACAATACTGCAGTGAATAACCTTGGGCATATTATTTTTCCTGTTGTTGGAGATGTATCTTCAGGGTAGATTCCTAGACGTGGGATGGCTGGTTAGAGGGTAAATACATATATCTCCATCCTAAAGAAATGGCGCCCCCCCCAAAAGAAATGGACTCTGTCTGGCTTACTTCTCTTTTATTCCTCAGACATTGATGAATGTGAGAATGAACTCAATGGAGGCTGTGTCCATGACTGTTTGAATATTCCAGGCAATTACCGCTGCACATGTTTTGATGGCTTCAAGTTGGCTCATGATGGTCATAATTGTCTTGGTAAGGAAAACGGTCGGAGACGGTGGGGCTCCTTTACTTACCCTCTGGTGCCCCACCCTTTTGTTCCTTTGATGAAAACATACTCATTAAAACAAAAAGGGGATCAGAGACTTGTGTTTTCTGCCCCCCTAGAAATCACACTCCCTGACAGAAAACCAGGTGAGGTGTTTCAGTTTTTATGTGATCATTCATGATATAAATTCTCCATTAGTCTAAGGAGATGGACATCATTGTTATTACTCATTTCTAGCATTGACTTCTCCCCTTTAAGGTCTTTGGTCTTGCATTGAAAGACTTATAACCATTTCTTTAATGCTGTAAGTATCTCTGTCCTAGAACTGGTAAAACTACTTGTTCTGAAAATTCCAAATGTGTGATCGGATCGCAGTCAGGTAACCCCACCCCCTTTTTGCTTGAGAGACAGAGAAGTTCGAATAGAAACCTTCCATTAACATCCTCCTTTTATTCCACAAAACAGGAACATCTGTTGGAGTTTCAGTCCCTGAGTTCGGGACTGCAAAGAGCATTGTTTATGTTGGTTGCTTATGCCAGGAGTAAAACAGGATTCAGAAATAGCAAGCAACTGGATGGGGCTGAGTGGGCTGAGTGTTGAATAGTCTTAGAGGATGCAGCACATCTGGCAGACAGGTATTCGTGGTCTGTTCGCATTTTAAGGCTGGTGCTATCGTTGTACAGAAGGACATCCTGGGAGGCAGATGGCATCAGGGTCCTTGACACTGATGACCCTTTGTGGGGTTAACCTGCTGACGTCTGCTTGGCTGACCAAGCAGTAACTTGAGCCAGGCCCTGACACGGTGGGGACGGCTATTGAGATGATTCATTATGGCACAGGGGGAATGGCTGCTTGGTTAAATGCTTTGGGAGCAGCATAAAAGTCACTAGATAAGTACAGACAAAACTCGTTTTTTGAGTGGTGGGGAAGGAGAGACTTTCCGTCTGGGAATCAACCCTTGTATGTCGTTTATCCCACTCTGGTGTCCCCTGGAACCCCATCCTGATATAGATTCTGGCCCTTCCTGTTGGTGCCCTGTGTGAGTCAGTCTTTGGATCAGAACACTTGGCCTTGCAAGTCTGCAGCGGTCATGAAGATTTGATTGAGGGCTGAGGGCTCACTAACCCCTTTGCAGACTGTCTAGGGCAGTCAGGACCCCAGAAAGACACTAGAGAGCCAATCCTGACAACAGCAGTCAATTGAGATTAATTAAAAAACTAAAAAAAAAAAAAAAAAAGTCACTTTCAGTGTGTAATTTTTGGGGGAGCATGCAGTATGTATGTTTTGGGGATTTTGTTTTTACCATTTTTGGGGGGTGAATCTCACATTTCCTTTTGATTGCCAAAAGTGGCATTTGGGGGAATTTATGTCTAATGGCAGATCTAGTCATCACAGTTGTGCTCAAACCCCAAGTTGTGCCTGGGGGAACATGTGAACTTCCTAAGAGCAACAGGCCAAACCACCACAGGGTTTAAGGACCTGGGCCAGGTTTGGGTCGGGTGGTTCCGAGTCAAGGCTGGCTCAGAAATCCTGAGGCCGGGAGTCTTTCTTTGCCTTGGCTGCTAACACAGATATTTCAGTGGACTATCTCCATTTCCCCTCCTTGGGGTCTCTTGGTGGCCTCGGTAGCAAGGATCTGCCTAGCAGAAATATCCTGAGTATCTGCTGAGTGTACCTGAAGGGGCTAAGGATTCTTTAAAGGAAGCCATGAGAAAATGAAGTGGTATGGTAAGAAGAGCAGGACGAGCAGACACAGAGATTTCTGTGCCATTTAGACTTGAAAGGGCTGAAGCATTTTGTGACACGGAAGCTCAGAGGCAAAGCTTTTCAGGAGCAGCACCGTGCAGCGTTCCCTGGGCTGACCGCGGACCTCTCCTCGGCCCCTCACCACGTGCTAGCCACACATATTAGCCAGAATATACACAGTACAAATACCACTTAAGTCTGGCACCAAACCCAGAGTGCTTCAAGATCCTGAATGCCCGAGAGCCTGAAAAACGAAACGCAGCTCTCTTCCGTGTCGCTCACCTGCCTGAATTCAGTTTCCATTTATTGAGTGTCTAGGAGTGCTTCTTAGCTGTTCAGTGTTGTGGCATTGGTTCTCAACTCCAGCTGCACATTAGAATCATTCAAGAAGTTTAAAACAGGGCGCCTGGGTGGCTTAGTCGGTTAGGCGACTGCCTTCGGCTCAGGTCATGATCCTGGAGTCCCGGGATCGAGTCCCGCATCGGGGTCCCTGCTCGGCAGGGAGTCTGCCTCTCCCTCTGACCCTCCTCTCTCTCATGCTCTCTGTCTCTCATTCTCTCTCTCTCAAATAAATAAATAAAATCTTAAAAAAAAAAAAAAGAAGAAGAAGTTTAAAACAACACCATTGCCTAGGTCTCATCCAAGATGAGTTATGTCAGCGTCTCAGGAGGTGGGGTCCCAGCATCTGGGTGCTAACGTGCAGCCAGGGTTGAGAACCACTGTTTTACAGTCTGGAGAAACTCACCAGGTGAGTGATAACCTATTTGTGCATGTGAACACACACACTTTTTGTATTAATTCAGTCAGAGTACATCACCCAACTCAATGGCACATTTCTAGTGGCTTTGGAGAAAGGAATAGTAGCTTAAAGGTAGGATGGGTGGGTGACAGCTCAGAGGGGAGCACACCTTTACTCAAACCAATCCAGGATTTGGAGTTCAGGGAAACAGATCTCTCCTGCTCACCATGAGTCCTCATCATGGAACACCTTGGCCAGGTGCGTTTCAGCGGCTCATACTTTGGAATGTGCTCCCTTTACCCTTTGGCATAGAGAAGGGCAAGTTTGTTAGGCTTGAGGGGATGGCTCGAGTCCCATCTGTTTAGAAAGACATCTGCCTGGTAGTGTGGGAGGATGCATGACTATAAGATCTGAAGCTTGAAACCAGATAACAGATATTTAAATGTGAATTTTCTTGTTATGGATGTGCCCAGAAGCTAGTGTTAGGCACATGGGAAATCAGGCTGGAGAAGTAAATTGCTTTTATTATTTATTTTTATTTTTAAATTTTTTAGATTTTATTTCTTTATTTGAAAGAGAGAGAGCGCACGTGTGCAAGCAAGCAGTGGGAAGAGCAAAGGGAGAGGGACAAGCAGAGTCTGTGCTGAGCATAGAGCCCGACGCGGGGCTTGATCCCACAACTCGGAGATCATGACCTGAGCTGAAATCAAGAGTCGATCGTTTAACTGACTGAGCCACCCACCCAAAATAAATTGCTTTTGTATCAGCCCTCTCCTTAAGCCTTTGTCATGTCTGAGACTTTTCTAGAAGTTTCCTCTGCTTTGGCTCTGATGATGCTATGCTCTCCTGCTTTTTTGTTCATGCACTGAACAATGTGCATCTGCAGTTCCAGGGCTGTGCTAAATAAAACAAAAATCTCTGTCCTCAGGGAGTCTGCAATCCAGTGGAGATGGATAAGTGAAAGGTTTTGAGGGATCAAAAGGTGCAAATTAAAAAAAGATTTTGAGAATGTGATATGGTCAGTGTATTGATGGAGCCGTGCAGAGTAATATGTGACACAGTGGAAGGAAAGTCCCTTAACCCACCGGGGGGGTGGTGGAAAACAGGTGGCGGATGACTCACTCCCTCTCTGTCTTTCTGATGGCTCCTTCTCTGCGGCTTCTGCTGTCTCCTCTACTTTCTCCTGCCCCTGGTATTCTCCTGAATTCTGCCTCTGGCCCTGTGCCCTCAGCAACCGTTCTCTTCCTTCCCACTGCTGCCTTCGGCTTTCTCGTCTACATCCACCTCGGTTTTCCGAGGTGCCGTCACAACACCAGACTCAGGTTTCCCACTGCCTTCTGGACCAAGGCCTGAAGGTCAGCATCTCACACACATCACCTCCCTGCCGTGGTGGGGGCCAACCTCATCTCCACCCCCATTTCCCCACCCGGCTCTGGGCTTCATGTTTCTCGGCCACCCTACCCAATGCCCACATGGTTTTCCATCCTGCAGGCACCTTGCCCACAGTCTTCTTCTATTTTTTCTATTCCTTCCTAGGCATCCCCGTGGCCAGGCCCCAGGTCTGGTCCCCCACAAACCCCCCTGAGGCTATTTCAGGTACATGTGTGAAGCTAGACTCCCAGACTTTCAATTCTTCTTGTATCCTACCCTTCCTTGGCTACCACCTTCTTCCCAACTCAAGGGTCTGACCATGCCACCCTTGCTACAGTGGTTCCCAACTGCCTCCCAAATCAAAACCGAACTTCTTTGCCTGGTATCCTCCCAGCTTTATCTCCTGTAACTTCCCTGCATGGACCTGTGCTCCAGACAAATTGAATGGCCACCCTTATCTGAACATACTCCATGCTCCCCAGCATCTGCACTATGCTCATGCCCTTTCTTTTGCCTAAAATCCCTTCTCCTGATTTAGAACTGAAGACATCCTGTAGGACCCATCTTCCATAAAACCCATCCCGATACCCTATAACCAACCAGGTGGCCTCTTTATCTTTTGCACCACCTTTTACTGTATCCCACAATTACTCTGATGTTTGTCTCCTTCCCTCTGCTGAAGGGGCAGGCTCCTAGAGCAGAAGAATTTGATCCTACTCATCTGTGTTTTACTGTCCCCTCTTCTAGCACCATACTCTGGAAAGAGAAGGTGTTCAATGAATATTTACTGAATTGATCATCTTATGTCTGTGTGGAAGGCCTGGTTAAGGGCGCCCAGAGCTCTGTGGTCTGGGGTCCCTGCTGACTTCAGTTCTGAGAGCTACTGTGATGCAGGGAAGGAAGAGGGACCTCATCTCTGCTTAGCAGGTGGCCCTGAGCTGCCGGAAGGGGTGGGCATTGGAAACAGTCCCCAGAGCCAAGGCTAATCCTCCTCTCCCTCCAGATGTGGACGAGTGCCTGGAGAACAATGGTGGCTGCCAGCACACCTGTGTCAACGTCATGGGGAGCTATGAGTGCCGATGCAAGGAGGGATTTTTCCTGAGTGACAATCAGCACACGTGCATTCACCGCTTGGAAGGTGCCTCGGCTCTGCTGTGGGCTGGGGGGGAGGGGTAGGGGGCGGGCAGTGTCACCTCTGAGAACCTCCCCGACCCTCACTGATTTTTTGAGGGGAAGCATGGAGTATGGGAAAATCTGGGGGCCTGGCGATGAGTCCAGACCCTGCTACTGGGTGACCGTGGGCAGGCTATTTTAGCTTCCATTTCCTCACCTGGGGAAATAAGTGGGTTGGGCTGGGTGATCTCTGAGGTCTCTTCACACTCTCACATTCCTGATTCTAATCTTTAAATAGAGAACATTTCAAACAGGACTAGATGTCTCAGGAGAAATGTAATGGACAATCTGCCAAGTTTTTCAAAACGGTGCTGCAAACCACAGCACCAAGTGCGAGCCTGCTCCGAGCTCTGGGTGGGTAGGGAGGGGCTGGAGCCTTCTTAGAGGCACAGGCAGACCCAGCTCTGGCCTTCCCTGGGTCTCCCATTTTTGAACTCTGAGCCTCTGGGGTTCCAGCGCAGAGGGACCCCCTCCCCAGACGTGGGCTTTCGATGCTGTGGTTTTCCCCATGCTACCGCTTACCATTCCTCCAGAAATTTTGTAGACGGCTCTTCTGATGGCCTCCCTTTTGTTCTCTTGGCTTTGGGTCTATACCTTTTTTATTCCTCTGTTAGTTCCGTGGATTCTCAGGTTGGGGAGGGGCATTAAGCACACGTGGCCACTCAGCCACTTTTAACTGAATGACATGTTTTTAATTCTCTGCTCTTTCTTAAGCTGAAGGACTACATTTTGATGGCTGTGTTGTCCCGGGGTTGCCCGTGCGTGTTTGTAAGGGAAGTGCTCTAAACATTAGACTATTAACTCCTTTTGGCATGTGCTGCTTGTTCATTCTCATAACTGAAGAATGAGGCGATTTTAAGTTCTTCTATTTAATCACACATTTGTAGATTTGTTGTTGAATCATGGTTTAAAGATTTTATTTATTTGGGAAAGAGAGAAAGCGAAAGACACAGCACGAGCAGGGGGGAGGGGCCAAGGGAGAGGGAGAAGCAGACTCCCCCTGAACAGGGAGCCCTAATGCGGGGCTCAGTCCCAGGACCCTGGGATCATGACCTGAGTCGAAGGCAGAAGCTTAACCGACTGAGCCACCCAGGTGCCCCTCTTAAGACTTTTCAAGGGTGTCTTTGTGGAAGATGATTTTTGCCTCATTTTCCAAGAATGATGGATCCTTCTTTCTACCTGGCTGGAAAAGGCTGTTTGGGTACTAAGAAGAATGGTCACAGGCCAGTGGGTTTGATGAGTCTTATCACCCCGAGCATGCTCATTCTCAGTGTTTGGGCAGGAGAGACACACACACACTGGCTCTAATCAGGCAGATCTCTTATCTCATGCAGGCGTGGCCCTTGATAGAGTAGCAGTTGGATTTCACATTCCTGGTAGGTTCTCTGTACTTTCCTGTGAGCCTTGCATCTGGGATGAGGCAGGATTAAGAAGCCAGGAGTAAGAGCGATCTCAGGGCACCTCCTCTTTGGTTGCTCAAAGCTGCTTCCTGGGAAGTCACTCGGCTTTCCCTACAGCTGCCTCGGACAGGAGTGGGGACCTGTGGGTCAGGCCGATGCTTAAACACAGTATGGATCCCCACCCACTCACAAAGCAGTTCACAGCGATTAAGATCATCTCTTACCTTGCGTTTCCAAAGCAGTGGCTCAGCCCCTCTCCCTTCCGACAGAACCTCCAGACTGATTACAGACACAGGCTCTTCATAACAGAAGTAAATACAAAAGCAGTTCCTTTCTGCAATCTGTGTTTTCTAAATTTTCTACAATTCAGACATTCTTGGATTCCCTGAAGAGTATTTAAAATGAACATACTTGTCTGGAGCTAAAACCAAAATCCAAGAATTTGAGTTGTGGTCTGGAAGTGCTCTCTGTGATTTTTCTGTTGTGTTGCAGGCTGATTTCTTGGTGAGTTCACGGCAGCCTGAGCCAACAGATTATGACGGTTAATAACTGAGATCCCGTCCATCCTAAGGTTTTAACTCTTCAAATAGAACAGTCTGTAAACAGCGTTCCTTTAGGATTTATTTCCTCTTGATGTGCACATTAAACTCTTAGAAACTGTATTAAAGTGGACTTTAAAACCCCCTGTTGATACTCCAATATTGGTTAAAAGAAGGTAATACTGCAAGCTTGTATTTTTTGGTGTTGCGGTTATTTTTAATAATTATTTACTAAATGTTCTTCAATTCAGGGGATCATAATAGGTGATTCTGAGGGAAAGCTTAAGCTATTGATTTTTCTTTCTTTTTATTCTTAGAGACCCCAAAGCTCTGATAAAGAGATTGTGTGTTTTCACCCATGTAATGGGGGTAGGCTGGGAGAGACATACTGCCGCAGCCAGGCTTTGTCCCTATTCATGGGTGCTCAGGCTCTCAAAATGAGCATTCCTCTTTTGTTCTATCTGCTCTGAGAATATTTTTCGATGTTTGCACCATTGCCTTTTCAGAGTAGGGGGAAGGTGTCAGGGTAGTGAGGAAGGGGCTGTCTCTCAGCAGGGCCTGTTTCCATCCTTTATAGAATGTTTCTCACTCTGTTTGCAAGGCATATTTTTCTCCAGTTTCCAGAAATATTCTTCAGTGGGACCACTGCAATAGGATATTTCTAATGTTTTTGAGCTATTTCCCTCCTGGTGAACTAGCAACCCAAAACATGATTGCCAGCCCTCCTAGTTTGGACCAGACCCATCTGCGTCCCTAGCAGTGGCCTTTTTTTTTTGAGTCAGAGAACTATGAACAGCTTCAGGGGCACCTTTTGAAAAGCCCCCAGCATTTCCAGAGCCATTTTAACGTCTATTATCTCCTGGTAACTTCAGGCCTAGCTTGATATGATAGGGCACCAGGGGACAACTTTTCATGTATCCCCAAGGCATCTGGCACCCAGTCAGGTTTGTGTTTGTTTGTTTAACAGTCAATTCTTTTTTTTTTTTAAATATTTTATTTTTAAGTAATCTCTTTTTTTTAAATTTAATTTAATTTTATAACAGTCAATTCTTATGAAATATTTTTTGTGTAAATGAATTGCTGCTCTGAGGCAGGACAGGTCACTTTGCAAATGTCTCCACAGACTCGTAAACAGGGTGAGAAGAAGCGGCAGCCCCTGACCTGTCCGGGGAGTGTGCTTTGCAGGTGTTGCCCTTTCTTGGGCACTGTCATGTTCAGCTCTAGAGGCTCCTGGCACGCGTGATCCCCAATGCTCTGCTGACCCAAGGACAAATGTAATTCTTGCCGGGCCTTCCTAGGAGGATAGAACGTCACTTCTGGAGGCAGCTGTCTCTCACCTCCTGTGCCGTCTCAGTGTTGGAAGCAAATAACGTTTCCACAAATCACCAGCCAGAGCTACGAGGGCGCTTTGCTCTGCTCGAGTCCAAGCCCCATTCTGTGTTAACAGACAGCAGCCTTGGCCTGGGTGAATGAATCACACAGATGGAGTGCGGGAGTTCAAACAGCTTGTAACTGTCAGATAAAAAACAAAATGGTTTTAATAGAGTATGGGATGTGTTAACTGTCACGCTGTCCTTTGGAATAGGAATGACATCTGTTTGTATTAAAACGGGTATTCCAGTTGAGCATAGATCAACGGCTCTGCGGTGAGAATTGGAGAGAAGTGACTTTTGACTTAATTAGAACCACTTGGCTAATTAGGGGCACAATACAAGACAGTGTAGGATCCCAGAGAAGTTGGATGAAAACTTCTTGTACTCATGTTTAAAACAGCGCTCCTTCCTGTGTTAGAGAGTGTCTTGTTAGCTGAGAACAAAAAGCCTACTCTCAAAGATGTTCATTGTACAGATGCAAAGAAGCATCAGATGGGCATGTAGTCAATAATGCAGTACGAACTGAGCAGAGGTCTTGGGAATACTCTTGGGCGTAATAATAGTTCCTCCAGAGTGCTGGCGGGGGATGGGGTCTCAGAGAGTCGTGTTGAGAAGAGGCAGGGCTCTGGCAAACCACACGGACATACACTAGGTTATGACCCCCATCATTTAAACGCGTGTTAAACCAGCTGGGAAATAACCCCCTTCCCTGCCCTGTGACCAGAGGATTGGACCGTTATGAAAATGCTAGTCTACCTGGAGAGAATTTTACAGCGGCTGAAGGAAACCACATGCCCACAGGCTCTCTCTGGTCCCTCTGCAGCTGTGTTGTGCTGTGCTCTGAGCCTGCTGGGGGGTGCCCAGGGACTAAGTGACAGTGGTCACAGAAGAGAGGCCCCTGGGCCCTTTGTGTGCTCATGCCAAAATACAGTAGTCACAGTCACCTCCAAAGTGTGGATTTGGTGGGGGGAGAAAAGAGGGTTGACGTTTTCGGAAAATTATCTTCAAGAGTATGTGAAAAAGTTGGCCATCTTCATCTATCTGAAGATATTCTTAGATTCTCCTTCTTTCTTTGCCTTCTTGGTCAGCCTGGGTAACAACCTGGCGGAGGTAAGAGTCTGAGTGCTGGTTCCTGGGGTCTGCAGGCTGTGGCTCCTCACTCACCAGAGAGCCCCTGAGGGGCGCTTTCTTTTCCGAGTATTAGGGGGGCTCCTTCCTCTTCAGGAGACTTGAGGCATCAGATCTCTTGGGTGACAGAGGAAATTCTTCATGTCTCTGTTAGTTGACCTGGCTGGATTTTAATAGCATGTTTTCTTAACATGTGGGGCTGATGGAGACCCAGGCAGTCAGGTCCCAGCCTCCAGCCCTTCGCAGTGCCCCTGGGGCTCAGGACTGTGCTCGCAGCCTGGTCACTGGCTGCGTGCTGCTCTTTTGCAGAGGGTCTGAGCTGCATGAATCGGAATCACGGTTGTAGTCACATCTGCAAGGAGGCCCCGAGGGGCAGCGTCGCCTGCGAGTGCCGGCCGGGCTTTGAGCTGGCCAAGAACCAGAGAGACTGCATCTGTAAGTACAGACTAGCACAGGCCTGTGCTGGGAGCCGGCCTACCCCAGGGGGTGTCTTCTGCAGCCCAGCTCAGAAACGCCACCTCACGGCACAGCGGCCGCGTCCGGGAAGGCAGCCGTCCCAGGATATTGACCTCTCCTGAGGACTAAGTTTGCTGCACAAGGGGTGGGCTCCCCTAGGGAAGGAGGGAAGGAAGATGATACTTTTTAAGGGACCTAATCAGAGGGAAATTAAATTTAGAAGGACTGAACGCTGGGGCCGGTCTCCCTGTTCCCACAGAATAAAATCAAACGTGGTCATCTGGCAACCATAGCTCTTTGCTCCCTGGTCCTGTTTCTTGTACAAACCTCATCCGCCTCCTTTTCCCAAACACCCTACCTCTTTGTCTGTCAGAGAACAGCCCGTGTTCCTTCATGCCTCCAAGCCTTCTCCAAGCGCTCATCCCGACCTGGCTTGGTGAATTCTCAGTCAACCTTTAATATTCTGCCCAACTTCTAATAATGAGAAGGAAAGTAGCTGCTTTTGAGGGCACATTTACTACGTGTAAAGGCTTGTCCAAAAATGTACCAATTCCACTGAATTCTTCATATCACCACCCTATTGAGCTAAGTATTATTATCCTCATTTTGTGGAGAAGGTAAAGCAGCAAGGTCACACAGGGAGCATGCGCCTAGTGAGGGTTCAGGTGTAGGTCCTCCTAGCTCTCAGGCTGGTGCACCTTACTAAACGTCCTTGGAAGCCTGCCCTGAGCAGCCGGCAGCCATTTTGTATTTGGGCTCCTTACAACACTGTTGGTTCCTCAGTGAGAGCATGGGACACCCGGGTTGAATTGTACATTTAGGTGTCTGTCCCCTCACCTGTGAACGCCCCCGGTCAGGGATCTCGTTTTAGTTTTGCCTCTCAGTCTTCCCCCAGTGCCCAGCGCAGGATGTGCTCAATACACGTTTGTTTACTGAATGAATGAATGGCGTCCACAGTGCGGACACAGCTGCCCCACGATGATGAAGCAAAGAATGAAACTCCAACTGGTCATAGGGAATAACCGGCCATTAAAGGTGTTCCTAAACCACTATTTATGCCAGAGGAAACATGGACAGTTTTCATTTGGCAACTCTTCCCAAAGCCATGGACCTTCTATAATTTCCCTTTCGTTTGCTAGGGATGGCTGTTTACAGCGAGTCGACCTTAGCAGTTGAGGGAGGAGGAGGTTGTTTCTCCAGTGAGAGCCTTATCTCCATTGTCTCCACCACAGAGCAGAGAGTGCAGCCCTGAAGCCTGCCAAACTGGGGCTGGTGCCACCACCACTTGGGGCCCCTAAAAGTGAGGCTGTTCTTGAGGGCTTCCAGGGGGCTGAGCAAAGTGGAGACCATCCTGGGTCTTGGTATCCTCACAAGGAGGACCCAGGTCTCCAGATGAGGCTCACCTGTGGAGTGACACTCTGGCCAGTAGAATACCTGGAATTTAAAATTTAAAAATTTTAAATATTTTTAAGAGGTCACTTCTCAAATAGTATTATAATCACGTTTGAGGAAAAAAACAAAAAGAAAAAAAGATGCAGAATTCTACCACATAACCAGCTGTTTCACTTTGTTTTGCTCTTTCTTCCTGACCCTTCACTTTTTTCATATTCCCATTTAGTTGTTCTCATGAGTACACAGTGTTTACCTCACTGTGAAGCAGAACAGTTTCTTTCTCACATCACAAATATATATTTAGTTTTTTTAAACTGGAAAAATTACAAATGCCTGTGTAAGAATTCAAACAGTTCTAAGGGTGTAAAGGAAGCATATTCTTCCCTCTCCCATTTCTCCTACCAGAGGTAACCACTGTTCACTTTGATGAATACATAGTTTTGACTTGTTTTTTTGTTTTTTGTTTTTTGTTTTTGTTTTGGCTGGTATCAATGAATTCATACACAGTCTTTGTAATTCTTGGGTAATGTTGCATTAAGTGTGTGCAGAGTCATCATTTCCTCTGAACAATGTCCATTCTAACTAATCTAGATAGAATCAGATGAGAGAAATCCTAACATATATGTACAAATAACTATTACCTGTTTCTTCCAGCCATAAAGTGCTATAACATTTTATATAGGCCCAGTACAGCTGCATTAATATGCAAACTTCTCCTGATAGACCAAAGCAGTAGTCTAGACTCTTTTGGTATAATAGTGGCCATCTGGCAACCACAGCTGAATGAATAGTGAAAATCTGCCTTCCCATCCCCATCTTCCTATATAATTGCTCAAGTCTGTCATTCGGCATTTCTTGAATTCATGCTCCGACTATCTATTTACATAGACAGCAATATGTATGTCTGAGTCATTCCACTGAATGACTCTGTCTGAGTCAGAGTTACTTGTTTTACGCACAGGGCCTAGCACATACTAGGTGCTCAAATACTTGCTGAATGAATATCAGAGACCTTCTGAAACAAAAACAGCCCCAGTTGTGGAAAACTCAGTGCTCAGCGTGTGGATTCCTTTTCTTCTCAGTGACCTGTAACTATGGAAATGGTGGGTGCCAGCACTCCTGCGAGGACACTGCTGAAGGCCCAGAGTGTAGCTGCCATCCCCAGTACAAGATGCATGCAGACGGGAGAAGCTGCCACGGTGAGTGACCCTGACACTTGGTAAGGGTCCGCCCCAGCCTGCCCACCCAAACCCAACCCCTAACTTAACCCTAACCCCCTAACCCCCTACCCCCCAAGCCTACCCCTGACTATGAATGGTGTTCAGCACCAGGTTCGGGGTGCTTCCGGTCCATCTGCCTCCAAATAGGTCCCGTGCTGCCTTCCACGTGACAGAGGGAGTGAGTGGTCTAGTCCTGGGAGGGGGGTCTCTCTCTCCCTGTGTCATCTCGGAAAGCCCTTTCTCTTCTCCTAGACTAGGGGGGCTCCTGAAGATGGTATTCTGGAGGCTGGGACCAGGGCGACATGAAGTTAAAGCTAGCCATTTGTGATGACGCGGTGGCCGTTATGGTCAGCAGAAGACAGTGTTGCATATTTCTGTCAGGATGCCAATCCTGTACTTCGTGGCATGTCCTTCGCCAGCTCCATTTAGAGGTTCCCAGCCCCAAGATTCTTTTTGTGCTGGACTAAGGGTACTGGAGTGAACCTGAAGCTTGCATTCCCTGGTGTCTCTTTGGTCACTGCAATATGCTTCAAGAATCTTTTCCAATGTTAACTAAGGCTCTGTGGCCATTTAACAGGCCGGGTTTCCCACAGAGCCTCGTTACAACACATTTTTATTGAGCGAACAGAGTCGCATATCCTCCATTGTGCTCACATCTGGGGTTTCGGCGGAAGTGGTTGTGCAGGGGGTGAGCCATCTGACTCATTCAGTCGGAGAGCTGTGCTCTTGGGCGTCTCTTACAGAGCGAGAGGACACTGCCCCGGAGGTGACAGAGAGCAATGCCACGTCGCTGGTGGACGGCGATAAGCGGGTGAAGCGGCGGCTGCTCATGGGTAGGCGCCTCCCCCACCCTTCCCTGGCCACTGTCCTTGACCCTGTCCCTCCCTCAGTTACCACCTCAGGCCTGAACCAGGGGCCCATATGCCCTCAGACCAGCTGGACCATGGTCAGCAGCTCCTGTCAAGCCAGGTTGTGTCTGCTCTTCCCCCACTGCTGTTGCTTAGTCCCCATCCAAGGACCCAGCAATTGTGGGAAGGGCACCAGCCCCCTGAATGGCCCGGTTAGCGTCCCCGCGCTGCCCCCCCTGCCCTGAGCCCCTGTCTCCTGGTCTTTCTTCACACTGGAGGTAATAGAACCTACCTCTGAGGGTTATCAGGAAGCTCAGTGAGGAAGACAATGTGCCAGAGTGCCCAGAGTCCGACGCCTGGGACTTCGTGGGTGGCCAGTGAATGTCAGCGCCAGTCCTTCTGAGCAGGTGTGACCAGGGAGGCACTTGGGGCAGTCCCTTGCCTAGCAGGGCCATGTGTCTGGGTTTTTGTCAGCGGAGTCCTCGTCCCTCTGACTTCAGCCCCTGTGGATGGCAAAAGAGATGAATGCAGAAGAGTGGCACTTGGCTGTGGGTGTAGGAAGGTCTGCCAGTGGAGCTGGGGACGGGAGCAGAAGTAGAGGCTGTGGCTGCGGGGGCGGATTTGGCGAATTACTGTTCTGAAGAAAGCTTGGCTTGACCGGAACAAAACCGACTTACTGATAGCTTCTCAATTTAACAGGTAATATATTGAGCAGCCATTGGTCACCAGGCACTGAGCTCTTTCCTGACCTCTTAAAGTTTTTTTGGTTTTTTTTTTAAGATTTTATTTATTTGTTCATAAGAGACAGAGAGAGAGGCAGAGGGAGAAGCAGGCTCCCTGCTGAGCAGGGAGCCCGATGCGGGACTCGATCCCAGGACCCTGGGATCATGACCTGAGCCGAAGGCAGACGCTTAACCATCTGAGCCACCCAGGCGCCCTTAAAGTTATTTTTAATTGTGTTAAGTTAAAATACTGCATATGGATAATATAAAAAAACCTTAAAAACCTAATTAGTGCTATTAAGCTTGTAATGAGACGTCATTTCCTTGCCTCAAAACTTCCCTTTCTCTCATCCCATTTGCCAGAGGCAACAATTTCCATTTCTCCTAGTTGTTCCTTCTTCTGACTCCTCTTCCCCCTCATTTCTGAAGAGTGTATACAGTTATTTCTCTTTTTCCTGTTTTAGTATATTATACACCTATTTCCTGATGTGTCAGTTTTAGATATTAGCTGTGACTTTTATTCCAGAGCACGCTGAGTTTTAGCTCTCTTCTGCCCCCTCCCCCAATGCACACCCTCTCCCTCCCCCACACCCTTACTGCGGTTCTATCACTATTGAGATCAACAGTACATATTTACATCATTGTGCCGAGGAGTATCTAAATATGAGTCACCCCCACCATGTAGTGTGCTATGATTATTATTTTCTTTGTTTGCCTAGGTTTCTAAGTACCTCTTACCAGTTCTTTTGCAAATTTTGAGCAGAGTTCTAAAACCCTTTTAATGTGTTCAAATACAGCACTCAACTTATTAATTCCATTTTCTTCTTAAAAAGTATCTTCTGGGGGCACCTGGATGGCTCAGTCGGTAAAGTGTCTGCCTTCAGCTCAGGTCATGATCTCAGGGTCCTGAGATTGAGCCCCGAGTTGGGCTCCCTGCTGAGCTGGGAGTCTGCTTCTGCCTCGCCACCCCCCCTCCCCCGTGCTCTCTCCCTCTCTCAAATAAATAGATAAATAAATAAATAAATTTTTAAAGTGTCGTCTGAGGCTTCTCCTGCTCCAGAGGGGCGTGACTCCCCCGGGCTGGCTGCACACCTCTCATCTGGGTCTTCCCGCTAGCACCAGCCTGGGAATCCCCTTCACCTCGCTCCTGTGTCTGTGGACCCCATGTCTTCTCTGTTGTTAGCTCACATGGGTAGGTATAGGTTTTTAAAAAACCTCCCATTCCTGAAAATGCCTTTCTACTCTACCTTTATTGAGCATTTGGCTCAGTATAGAATTCAGAGTTGTGAGTAGTGAGTGCTCTATTGTTTTCAAGCATTCAGTGTTGTTTCTAGAAGTCTAAAGTCATTTTTATTCTTGCTCCTTTGAATGGAACCCATGAAAGCTTCTTTCTGGTTGTTTTTAGGGTCTTCTCCTTGTCCCCGGTGGTCTGAAATTTCACAATAACGACCCTCACGATGGGACTTTTCCCACCTGTTGTGCTGAACACTCAGTTGGCCTTTTCAATATGGCAAATATAGAACTAGCCCCCTAGTTCTGAGAAAGTTCCTTATATTTTTTCTTTGATAATTTTCTTAACTACCTATTCCCTATTCTTTCTCTCTGAAACTTCTGTCAATTGGCTGTTTTAACTCCACTAATTAAGTTTTTGTTCTACTTCATAGGAGATTTTTAATTTTCTTTCTTCCAACCCTCTACAGGATTCTTTTTATTATTTATTTATTTATTTATTTTTAAAATATTTTATTTATTTATTTGAGAGCGAGAATGAGACAGAGAGAGAGAGCATGAGATGGGGGAGGATGAGGAAGAAGCAGACTCCCTGCCGAGCAGGGAGCCCGATGCGGGACTCGATCCCAGGACTCCAGGATCATGACCTGAGCCGAAAGCAGTCGCTTAACCAACTGAGCCACCCAGGCGCCCAAGATGTTATTTTTTAAAGACTTTATCCATCCATCTGAGAGAGAGAGAGAGGGAGAGCCCAAGGCAGAGGGGAGGGGGAGAGAAGCAGAGGAGGAGGGAGAGGGACAAGCAGATGCCACGCTGAGCAGAGCCCGACGCGGGGCTTGATCCCAGAACCATGAGATCATGACCTGAGCCGAAATCAAGAGTCGGCCGCTTAACCAACAGAGCCACCCAGGCGCCCCTTGCTTAAATTGTTTTTTGTTTTTAAATACACTATCTAACGTTTGGTCATTTTACAGAGCTTTTGTTTTTATTTTAGAAGACAGATACATTCTTTTTTTTTAGATTTCATTTATTTATTTGAGAGAGAGAGCATGAGGGAGGGAGGGTCAGAGGGAGAAGCAGACTCCTCGCGGAGCAAGGAGCCCGATGCGGGACTCGATCCCGGGACTCCAGGATCATGACCTGAGCCGAAGGCAGTCGCCTAACCAACTGAGCCACCCAGGCACCCTACAGGATTCTTTTTAAATGTCTGCTTTCATATTCTAAGTTTTTTTTTTTTTTAAAGATTTTATTTATTTATTTGAGAGAGAGAGAGAGAGAAACAGCATGAGAGGGGATAGGGTCAGAGGGAGAAGCAGGCTCCCCGCCGAGCCGGGAGCCCAATGCGGGACTCGATTCCAGGACTCCGGGATCATGACCTGAGCCGAAGGCAGTCGCTTAACCAACTGAGCCACCCAGGCGCCCTCATATTTTAAGTTTTTAAGAATTTTACTTTGGTCTTCTGTTGGAGGCACCTATTCATATTTCATGAATGCTTTCCTTATCTTTTTAGAGAAATTAATTAGGAGATTTTAAAAACTTTTCTTTTGTTCCCTGTATTGTCTTTGTTTCATCCAAGTTCCCTTTTCCCTTTTCATTTGATTTGGTGCATCTATTCATATTAAAGGCCTTCCTGAAATACCTGTTGATTCTAGGCTGACTTTTCATATTTAATAGTGAAATAGTAAAAAGTTAATTGGATGTTCTACCAGCCGGTAGGCTTTAAACTGGGATGACTAGGCAGTGACTTAGCCATTTCATTTGGAGACCCTCAAATGCCAGTATCTGTATGTCTTTTCACTTGGCCAGGTCAGTTTAGCTGGAGAGGAATCCTTCAGTCTCCTGCTGAGGGGACGTAGACTTGACTGCCAGTGATTTTGGAGCTGGGGTGGGGGCGGGTGGTGGTGGTGAGGCTTTGAGATCCCTTTTTTCAGGGTATAGACTTTCACCTGACCCTGTGTCCTCCTCCCTCCTGCTATTCCTGGTATCCTCGAGTCCAGTGCTTCTCTGGTCCTACTTCTCCAGAAGATGAATTTCTCTGCTTTGGCCCAAATAAGGAAGGGGTAGTCACCTGGCTGTGGAATTTAGGAGGGGATCTGAGGGTTTGTCTGTTTGTTCTATAGACTTACAATCAATCTTCCTGTTTTTAACTCCTACCTTACCTCTGCCCCTAGAGTAAGTTAGTATCTCCAGTTCCCGGGCCTTTCTGGAGTTCTATGGCTTACCCGAGCTCACCACTTGTTGGCACCCCCTCTGCAGACTGCTAGGGTTTAGCTTTCTGCTTTGTCCATTTTACTGCCCCTCCTTGACATGCCGCTTCCAGAATATTTGACGTCTTCCGTCTATTGTCTTTGCTTCCATTTTCTTTGTCCTTAGGGATTTGTACTTTTTAAAAATTTTAATTTCAGTATAGTTAACATACAGTGTAATATTAGTCTGTATACAATCTACTGACCCAAACCTCCATACAACACCCAGTGCTCATCACAACAAGTGCACTCCTTAATCCCCATCACCTATTTCACCCATCCCCCTACCCACCTCCTCTCTGGTGACCATCAGTTTGTTCTCTGTAGTTAAGAATCTGTTTCTTGGCTTGTCTCTCCCTCTTTTTTCCTTTGCTCATTTGTTTTGTTTCTTAAATTCCACATGAGTGAAATCATATGGTATTTGTCTTTCTCTGACTTATTTTGCTTAGCATAATACTCTCTAGCTCCATCCGTGTCGTTGCAAATGGCAAGATTTCTTTCCTTTTTATGGCTGGGTAATATTCCATTTTATATATATATATATATATACACACACACACACACACACATATATATGTATATGTATACACACACACACACACACTGCATTTTCTTTATCCATTCATCAATCGATGGACACTTGAGCTGTTTCCATACTTTGGCTATTGTAGATAATGCTACTATAAACACTGGGGTGCATGTATCCCTTTGAATTAGTGTTTTCATATTTTGGGGGTAAATACCCAATAGTGTGATTACTGGCTCATAGGGTAGTTCTATTTTTAACTTTTTGAGGAAACTCCGTACTGTTTTCCACAGTGGCTGTACCAGTTCTTAAGGATTTATGCTTTAAAAAATCTTTTTACTCTCATGTGAGGTTTTGAGAGGAAACAGTGATATACCTGTTCTGTCTGGCATATTTAATTAGAACTAAGCTTTTTCCCCGAGGCTATACTTTGAGGTAGCTATGGAAGTAAAAGCAGTAAGTTAAACTAGAAGGACATTTGCTTATTGTTCCTCATCTCTATAGATGGGACTTAATAACTGTGGCTGATTTTTCATGTATCTGTGACAAGTTCTTTCTCCTTTCAGGGAAAGGTAAACTCCTAATCTGAGTTAATTGGCAGTTGCAAGGATGAAGTCGTTGGTCTGCAGCAAGAGAATGGTTGGGGTAGGCGAAGCTTGCCCTCTCTTGCTTCGCCCATTTCTTATATTGAAGGGAGAGGGTTCAGGATTAAGGAGGGATCATCCCTCTTTGCCCTGCTCTGCATTCACATCTAGCTTGCCAGATGTGGCCACACTTAGCAGGTCAGTGGCTGTGGTTCAGTAGGAACGTGTAGCGGCTTCAGACCTGCCATTGGAGGGGGGAAAGGCTCAGCAGGCTGGAGAGCCATTTTTACCCCTCTCTCAAGCTTCTCTGGGAGATGTCTCTTATTTAGGTGGGTGAGAGGAGCTGCCCCTGCTCTCCCTTTATCTCACCTGCAGGTGATAGAGACTTGGGATACAATTGTGAGTGCCCCACCATGCCTCTTGGCTTTCGTGAACTTTGTCAAGCATTAATTCTGCAGTCATAGCCTTTCCTCCCAGCTGTATCAGTGCTTCTTTAGCAAGCTAACTGTCTTTTTCTTCCCTCCTTGTCAGAAACATGTGCTGTCAACAATGGAGGCTGCGATCGCACCTGTAAGGATACTTCGACAGGTGTTCATTGCAGTTGTCCCATTGGATTCACTCTCCAGTTGGATGGGAAGACCTGTAAAGGTAGCCTGTGCCTCTCCAAGCTGCTAATGTGTGGGGGTAAAGGCAGCTCTTTCCCCCCCCCCCCCCAAACCTCCTGGAGAGACTCCAGAAAGAGTATGATTCATCTCACTGGAAAAGCTTTTCTTCCCTGGGCTAGTGGAAGATTATAATTGAGTAAGCTTAATTAGAACCAACTTAATTACACCAACTGTTGAGAAGGTCAGCTTCTGCAAGCATCAGATAACCCAGGCAGCAGCCTTATTAGAAAAAGGCAGAAGTTCAAGAAAACATTCATTTGCCCCTGATAGTATCAGCCTATCATAAGTAACAGCCTAGAGATTATTATATAAATAACAGCCGAGATTTTTATCCAGAGAACTTAATGAATAGCCGTACAATTAACTTTTACTGATCAATAGAGACCTCAATGACCTGCTAGTATTTCTTGGGCAAGAGTACAAAGGCTTTGTCTTTAACATGATACAAAGCAGATAACCAGTTACCAGATGAAACTGAGAGAAGATAAGATTAATTTGAGTATCAGGAATCATTTAAAAGCATTGAGGCTACTTGATCGTCCGTGTAATTTGCCAAAACAAGTGTTCTAATTCCTTATAATTTAAATAATTAAATTGGAATGGAAAGTATACCGAAGGGAGCCATCTTATCTCGAGAGAGCAGTGCAAGGATGAGAATGTAACAGGACATCACCATTCTTTCCCATAATTTGTTTGCTCAATGCTAGCCGAGGGTAGCACACGTCAGAATTCTCAAGGGCCGAGGCACTTGTCTTTCCCAGTTGGTTCAGCCAAACAAGAAAACATGTGTAAGATTAAAAACATCAGCAAACATCTTTACGTGCTTTCACAGGGTCTATTTTGGTTGCAGAGAGTATTGAAGCGTGCACACAATAGCATGTCAGGGATTTGTAGAAAAGCAGGCCAGTTTTGCTCTCTGATTTGCCGATGCTTGCCTGTTACAGACATTGATGAGTGCCAGACCCGCAATGGAGGTTGCGATCATTTCTGCAAAAACACCGTGGGCAGTTTTGACTGCAGCTGCAAAAAGGGATTTAAATTATTAACAGATGAGAAGTCTTGCCAAGGTATGTGCCGAAACGTAGCTGTGTTGTGCAGTGCTCGCTGGTTGGAGCCGAGAAGACAAAACCCCACGCTGGCAGAGACTGGCTCATTGGGCTTCTCGATGGAGTCATTAATCCAACTGCCAACCCATGCCTCACTTATTTCGTCTGTCGGTAGAATAAAAACACTGATGTAGCTCACAAGTATATTTTGGACATTAAGCTTTAACGATTAGAGAACACCTCAAAGAATCCATCTGGTGTGATCATACAGAGCTCACTGCGAGAAATGGCATGGATCACAGAGTGTAAACAGGTTTGCATTAGGGTGTTGAGATTATGAATAATTTCTTTTTTCTAAATTTTCTAAAATTCCTTTAATTTTGTGGATTTTTATAACAAAACTTGGCAAAAATATGTAGGTTTAGTTAACATACCTTACCTTTTCCTAGCGAAGAGTTGGGGTCAACCCATAATCAAGGTCATGTACCAGTTGGTCTCTTCCTTACAGCCCTTGTTTTAATGACCAACCAGCTTCTGGGGCTTGGGGAGAGGGACGGTGGGGAGGGAGGGAGGGAATTGAGTGGAGGCAAGGCAGGATTGCAGACCCCCCTCTTAGATGCATTCCTCCCACACAAGGGGTGTCAGGGGAGCATCTTTGGGGAGCAGTTGTTGTTATTAATAACTCTGGGGTGGTCGTAAGCTGTGTTGGATGAGGAGCATCATTTATATTTTCAGATGAGCACCTTTTATGCCCTATGGATATACAGGAAGGCGCTGTCAGGAAAGATGTGCTGTCATGTAGTCTTGTTCCATTTCTGGGAACAAGAACAGCCTAACTTACTTTGTTAGAAATCCCAGAATTAAGTCAAAATCAGAAAATAATATCTGCTTTCACCTCAGGTAATAAAAATGTAACATTACCTTTTTTAAAAATCTTATGGTGTGTGAATTAGGTTTCTCTCTCCTTTTTTTCCGCTTAATACATAATTTGTCAGGCAGTTCAAGTATAGCCCCCTTTAAATTCAGCAAGTTCCTTCTGGATGACTATTGCATGGCTTTCTTTCATTTGACTTGGAAAGCAAATTTGATGTTCCACATAATGTTTCATAATGTACAGAGCAAGAAATACTATTTAAGCTGTGTAAACACATTAAAAAGGAATTAAAAAAGTGATCTCATTATTTTTGGCAAAGCCACAGCCCATGATGTGCAGCCAAAGCCAGCTACTGAACAAGTCCAACTTTCTCGACAACTGGCTGATGTTAATAACAGAATTCATAGAGTGACATCAATTACTAGGGAAGAAATGGACTTTTTCTTATTTTTCACGGATTGGTCTTGGTAGAAGAAATATTTTCACAGAACAAATTTACTGAAGAAATTGCCAGGAGTTCTGGGAAAAGCTAGTGATGAAGAGGTTTTGTAAGAATTTGCCCTTTTTAATTTCATTTCTTCATTCCTCTAGTTCCTTCCAAATGTTTGTTTTTTATTAACATAGTTTCTTATGGCACATTTGATGTTGAAAAAGAGATCTAGCTCTGGGCTAGTTGGCTTCCACTGAGTTCTGCACTGGTCCTGGCTTATCCATTTGGAGACACAAGTCATAACTCTGTTAAAACCCTCCAAAGAGTTGAGGAAGTGAAGCACTGAAATTCTACTCTACAGGAAAGATAAGGACCAGACCAGGGCAGGAGAAATAATTAGATTGACAAAGGCAGCCTCCTGAGGCTAGTTTCCAGGACCTTGGCTGAAGCCAGTGATGCCTCCACGTTAGACCAGGACAGGAGGGGCCCTGTGGGGCTGAACCATGGCAGAAGAACAAAGCCAAGGGATTGGCCAAGAGGATCCAGTTTGGAGCTTAACCACCAAATTTTAGTGTCTGCAATAGAAAATCACTGAGGTTGTTAGCGTTCATGCATTCTTTTAGTGCAGAGGACATGAAAACCCAATTGACCTCCTGGGGCCAGAAGACTAATTCTGGAAAGATAGGAACCAGATTTATTTCCAACCCAACTGTTTTCTCCTTTCCATTTGCTATAGCTTATATAATTAGTACTGTTGTCTTACCAGTAGGAATATAACAACAGTAACGCATGGGTTGCACCTTATCGTTTGCAAACCCTTTTAAGGTACGTTATCTCATTTGGCTTCACTTAAATATTTTAAATTACTCAGTCCTGCGAATAAGCATAGGAGAGAGACCAACGGAGCTTAAAGGCAAGTGCATTTTGCACAGAATTTAGAAATAAGGATTCTGGTTGGGAGTATACTTATGGTAGGCTGCTCAACATTTTCTTTGACACAAGTGAGCAGGTGAACTGATAAGATACTTTTTAAATTCTGTTTCTGTTGGTTTTATTGTCGGTCAATGAGTGGAGTTATAAACCTGTTCTTTCCACTCACCCCTCAGAGTTGGTTTCAGCTCCCCTCTCCCTTTGACAATTACAGATGTGGATGAATGCTCTTTGGATAGGACCTGTGACCACAACTGCATCAACCATCCCGGCACATTCACATGTGCTTGCAACAAAGGGTACACCCTCTATGGCTTCACCCACTGCGGAGGTGAGCAGAAGGCCCCTTGAGAGGCAGGGGAGGTTGGGCCTGCAGGGGAGCCGGACCTACGTCCCCCAGTTTCCCCAGGTCAGGGTCAAGTTTCCAATATTGGGGGAATGAAAGGGACATTTTGTGTATAGTAGTGAGTTCATCGACTCAAGGGAAGCATCTGCTAAGGGAAATCTATTCACATTGATCCCTTTAACATGTTACATTATGGAGCAGAGAGAGGAACTGAGCTAATCAACTGTGAACTTTTTTTTGACTTTACTGATGTAGTGTATTCAGACAGTGGGAGCGTCTCTCAGGAGCTGATACCCTGTCTGTTGGAACTTCCCAGGGGATCATAAAGTCACAGTCCTCAGAGAGACTGGGCAGGGCACCACCCATTTCCATAGCCTTGCTGTTCCCAGGAACTAGCTGAGGTGAGAAGCCTGTTTCAAGATCTGAGCTGGTCTTCGAGCAGGTCTTTGAGCTGGAAGTGGACCATCGGCTCGCTCTATCTCTCTGGGCTGTGCCCGTGTAGCCCCATCTTCTGATGTCATTTGTCCTAATGCTCATGTCGACTATGGCATAAATCAGATTTAACATCAAATGACTCCCACCCTGCTCCCCCTGATCATCAGGTTCATTGAACAGTCTTTGAGAATACAGATTCAGATTCTGATTCAGAATGGCTAGGGCTTCCAGGGTGACACTGAGTATCTGAGTGTTTGGGAACCATGGGCTTGAATACTTCCTGCCCAATTCTTGTGTCCTGTGCTTAAGAAGAATGGAGAGTAGTGGTTTGGTATAGATAACATTGTCTCTCTTCTCCGTTTCAATACATCCTTGGCATGGCTAAATACACCCTCTTCCAGTCCATCAAGAAACCCCAAGGATATATGCCCTGAATACGGATGTGTGTCTGGGTTTTAGGTGGAGCTGCCTTCCAGCCTGGACTCAGTCTTGGGTGGATGCGGATTAGTGCAAGTCATTTTCCTTCTCTATACTTCAGCTACTGAATATGAACCGTCCAGTGAGGAATCCTAACTCTGTCTCCCTTGGCGTGTAGCCCAGGGGGATGGTAGAATTCCACATCGGAGGCCTGTGCGGTGTTTGCGTTTGGACCCGCAAAAGTAGAGCGTGCCCCCTTCTGAGTATCCTTAATGGGGGAAAGGTTTGGTCCGGAACGGAACTTGAGACCATCCTGGCGGAGCTTCTGCCAGGAAACCCCCGGAGTGGGGAGTGGGGTCAGCCGGGGCCCAGGGCACATCCCGAAGGCGGTTAGCACCTTCCCTTGGGTTAGTGAGTTTCAGCCCTGCGGCTTCCCTGCTGCTTCCTCAGGGGAGCGACGGCGTCAGCCTGGTCGCCAGCGGGCTGCTGTGACAGGAGAGTGTTTTGTTCTGCAGACACCAACGAGTGCAGTATCAACAATGGGGGCTGTCGGCAGGTCTGTGTGAACACAGCGGGCAGCTATGAATGCCAGTGCCGCTCTGCATACAAGCTCCACTGGAATCAGAAAGACTGTGTGGGTAAGGGGTGCCGTGTCCCACAGTCAGCGGGCTCGCACTGGCACGGCGGCCCTGTCCCCGCGGGGCCGGGGGGCGCCCGCCCTCCTCCCGTCCCTGACGCTTGTCCCCTCGGCGGCAGCAGCCATTCTTGAAATAGTTCAAAAACAGGAGATACTTTACAGGCTCTTCGGTGTGTCCTTCTGTGCTTCTGTGCAGGTCAGAATTCCCTTCTGTTTTCCCGCATGGGGGAAAAAACCCCAAACCAGCACACACGTAGCTTCTTTACTTTGGAGGGAAATAGTGCCCTGTGTCTTGTGCTCTGTGCTGGGTATCAGCCCTACCTTCTTTTCCTGGGGCCTGGGATGATTGGGACTCACCTGGAAGCGTCCTGCTCTTGCTGTAAGTGTCTGCTTTTTGTCCTGTCCAGAAGTGAAGGGGGTCCTGCCCACTAGTGTGTCACCCCATGTGTCCCTGCATTGCGGTAAGAGTGGTGGAGGAGACAGGTGCTTCCTCAGATGTCACTCGGGCATTCACCTCTCTTCAGGTGAGTGGGTCCCAGTCCCTGGGGCAAGTCCTCGTGCCAGGGCCAGGCCTTCCTGGCCGTTAGGTGTTAGGTGCCCTCAAAGGCTTCCCAGGTCTTTGACCAGCGGCCCTTGACCACCGGCGGCCCATGCTTTGACGCCCCATATGCTGGGCATTTGTCTAGTGGTTTCTGTGGGAAGGGGGGCGGGGAGTGAGTTTAGCCGCTAGCAGGAGGGACTGTAACCTTGCTTACGTGTTGACAACCCACATTCTGTCCGTCAGGACTGCAAGAGGCCTACTCTGTCACCTGCGGCTCTTCCTCTTCTCTCAAGAGCAAACAGCAAAAATCCAATGACTCCACTTTCGGGGGTAATTACCAAATCTGTGTGTTCTCTCTGGGGTTCACTGTGATAAATGGGCTCCATTCTTGGGGTGCCATTCTTGAGCGTTGGCTTTATTTTCTCTTCTCTTAATCTCCTCAGTGCTGCGAGCACATTGCAGTCTGTTCTTGCCCACAGCGTTGGTGCCTGAAAACCGACTCACCGTGTAACAGATCTTTACCGAGTGTCCCCTGTGTGCTCGGAGGCTCCGTCCGTGTTCAGCCCTGGCGGGTCATCATATTGGGCAGAGGCCCACAGAGCTCTGGGATCAGGAGACTCGGGTCTCCCGAACTCCCTGTACCTCAAAGGCCCACCAGGCAGTGTGTGCCTGGTGCACATGACGTTGGTGGAGATAGACATAGGCATGACAGGAGGCAAAGATTCTGTCCAGAGAAAGAGGCCCCAACCCTTTCTAGTTTGTCAGAAGACAAAGGATGAAATGTAAAGATTTTAAGTAACCTTTTCCTCCCAGATTTAGACATCTCTGTGATTACATCCTGAGAACGTCTGAATGAGGAGATGATTCTTGATGTCCATATTACATATATGAGCAGAGCTAGCGACCCAAAGCAGGACAATAATACTCGAATATATTGACTGAGTGGTTAAATATACCAGCCACTGTATTACATGTCTGAGCTGATTTAATCCACACTGCAGTGCTCAGGGAAATTTTACTATTCTTCTCATTAATCAGATGAAGAGCCCGAGGTTCAGAGAGGTGAAATAATGTGCCCAGACTCAGATAGGAAATAGTGGAGTTGGTGTTTTAACCAGGATGGGCAAGCTGATAGTTAATAGTTATTCAGTTCTTACTGTGTGCCAGACAGTAGGCTAAACTTTTTATTTATTTTTTTTGTATCATCTCATTTAATCCTCACAGTAATGTAGGTACCTTAATGTAAGTACCCCAATTTTGTCTATTTTACAGGTGAGGAAACTGAGGCTTAGGGAGTTTTAGTAACTTGCTTAAGTTCTCATCACAAGTCAAAGAGCTAGAGTATGAATCCTGGGCTTTGGCTCCAGAGCTTGACATATGGTTAAGACTGATTGTGGGGGGAGAGCAGAATTTTGCACATGAGGCCCTCAAAGTGGGACCTTTGCTGCCCCCAGAGCCCAAACATCCTAGCCGCTTTTGGAGAGTGCCATCCTCTTCTGCTCCCCCAACCTTGTCCTCCCAGGAAAGGCTTTTCCAGGAGAATCTGCCCTTCACCATTTCCCCCAGCAGTCATGTCCAAATTAGAACTAGGAGATTCTGGTCTTCTTTCTCAGGAAGTCACAAAAGTGACCTCATAGTTCATCTCGGCGTTGAGGTTGTTTGGGGCCCTCTCTTTATTATATTTGAGCATTGGATTAATCTCAGCTAGAGGGATAGGTGTTACTCTTAGGAGGCTCCTGGCATCCCCAGCCTCAGGATCATGGTTACTCCATGAGCCAGATCTTTTGTGGACTCAGGGTAAGAGACGGGCTCAGGGTGTGCAGCATGTGGTGGGACCCAGCCTCAGGACAGCTCGCCATTACCCACCAGGTCTTTCCATTCCTTTGCCTCTGAAGGTAACATCTCTCACTTGTTTCTTTCTGAAGATGTCGCCACCGTCAGGACAAGTGTAACCTTTAAACTAAATGAAGGCAAGTGTAGTTTGAAAAAGGCTGAGCTGTTTTCCGAGGGTCTGCGACCAGCACTACCAGGTATGAAATCAGATGGCTGGTGCAGGGAGCTTGCTTGCATGTTGGGAAAGGGGCCTGTAACATGCTGAGCCCTTCAGATGGGATCGAACAGTCCAGAATCTCCAAGGACTCTCTCCACAGGGGGAAGAGGAGCCTAGCTTAGCACCCCTGTATAGCTCTGGAGTTATACGCAGGGCTTCCTTTGCCAGGCACACATGGTGAGCTCTGGAGAAACCTGTGAGTTCACAGGAATCAGTAAGGGCTTTAAGATGCATTGGCAGTTTGCAATTATATTGGGTTAAATTTTCTAGATCTAAGACTTTGCTTGGAATATAAGCCAAAGAAATGAGAAAGGGTTGGTTCAGGATAATCTCTGATGAACAAAGATGTAATATCCAGCTTTCCTGTTGGATCCAGTCTTTGGAGGCGGTGACTCCATTGGCTTCAGCAGAACAAACACCATCCAAATAGAACTGGCCTGGTAGAGAAGAGCAGGACCCAATACCTCCTCCCAATACCCCCTCCTTCCCTCCCCTCCCCGGCTAACACTTCCTGTATTATTTCATAAAATAATTTTAGAGATTAAAAAAAATCATGACTCATGTATTAGGGATGCTTCTTTCCCCAGTTTGCCATCACATAAATCATACAAATAAACATGAAGTTCACTGTAGTCACTTTTGGCTGCATATTTTAAGAAATTGAGGTTAATTTTGGTACCTCCATTTGATAGAATATTATGCAGCTATTAATTATGTGTTTTTAAAGAATGTTTAGTGACATAGGAAAATGTTCTTATAATGCTAAGATGGAGAGGGGAGAGTAAGATTTCATATACCTAATACAACCCAGACTGTGTAAGAAAAAGTATGAGTAGAAGAAAAAGAAAGGAAACTCATCATATCATTAGTAGTAGTTATATCTCATTGTGGGGGGGATGACAGGAAATTTTCATTTTTTTCTTCTGCATTTTCCAAATTCTCCACAGTGAGCATTTATACTTTATTTATTTATTTATTTTAAAGATTGGTTTATTTATTTGTTTGAGGGGAGAGGGGCAGAGTGGGAGACAGAGAGAGTCTCAAGCAGACACCCCACTGAGCGTGGAGCCCAGTGCAGGCCTCTATCCCATGACCCCGAGATCATGACCTCATGATCAAGCCGAAATCAAGAGTCAGCTGCTCAACCAACTGAATCACCCAGACGCCCATCATTCATGCTTTTAGATAGAGGGAAAAAGCATTATTTAAAAATAGTCTTGGTCTTTAGTCTTCTTAATGGTATTGTACTATGTTAATTTCTCAGTGTTGATAAATATACAGGATAGTGTAAGGTGTTAGCATTAGGGGAACTTAACAAAGAATATATGGGAACTCTCGGTTCTATCTAAGAGAGTCCGGAACGGGGATGTGCAGAGCCCTGCCTTGCGCAACACTTCCTCCCACCCTAGATGCCTTCATGATACTGTTTGGTTCTCTGGATGCTTTGTGCCGTGCATTGCTGCTGGTTATTTCAAAATGAGACATCGCTGTTAATGCGCCTTCCAGCTTCCCCTCTGGGTTGCAATTACTCCAAGCTCAGTTTGCCTGAAAGCAGGAGTTGGTTTCCTTTCCACTCCTGTGCTCATTCCCTCTTTGACGCCTCAGCCCCTGCTTGGTACATCACAGTCCAGCTCTAAGGAAACCAACTGTGAGAACACGGAGCGCACACCTTAGCAGGCCGGCAGTTAGGACTGCAAGGTGACCCTGGTTCCTGTCTTCCCTGTCTTCCACACATGTGGCACACATCCAGCATTCATCTTCCACACAGTCGCACACATCCAGCATTCATCCATGAAAATAATTTTCAAGAGCTAAATTGTTAAGTTATATAGGAGGCTCTTCAAAATTAAAATGTCATCGTGCTCCAAGCTGAGGCTTGCAGCGTCCTGGCATCTGGAGTTAATCACTTCGTCCCTTGAGAGTTGTTCTAATGAAATGTTTACTGAGCTCTAGCGAATGTTCAACTGAGTGCTTTGCCAGGATCTGGCTTCCGATAATTTTGTTTTTCATACAGAGAAGCACAGCTCAGTAAAAGAGAGCTTCCGCTACGCAAACCTTACATGCAGCTCCAGCAAGCAAGTCCCGGGAGCCCCTGGCCGCCCCAGCGCCACTAAGGAAATGTTTATCTCTGTTGAGTTTGAACTTGAAACTAACCAAAAGGAGGTGACAGGTTGGTTTGAAAACAGTCTGTGGTGCCAGGCTTCTCACAGCTTGCTCCTTATTCCTTTGCCTTTCACTTTTCGTCATTCTTGGTGGGGGGAGAAGATAACGCAACCACCGAAGTATCTCCTGTTTTTTTGTTTTTTCACTCCCAAACTAAACTGAATTGGTTTGGAACCTCATGGTTTTATCTGTTTCATAAAAACTCAAAGATTCCATTTTGGCCAGCCAATTTCCGTTTGAGTCAAATGCTGCCCAGCCTGTGAGGTGCCCAGCCCCAGGTCTCCCCCCATTCTGTCCCCAGGGAACTGTGGGTGTTGGTGGGTCCCTCACCACCCTGGACACCCTCACATGCTGCAGCATGACCTCCTCCCCCATGGCGATCCCTCTTGTTTTGGTAGCTTCTTGTGACCTGAGCTGCATTGTCAAGCGAACAGAGAAGCGGCTCCGGAAAGCCATCCGCGCGCTCCGGAAGGCTGCCAACAGGGAGCAGTTTTACCTCCAGCTCTCGGGCATGGACCTGGAAGGGGCAAAGACGTCTCCCAGCGCATCTGAACACCGAGTGCAGGCCTGTGGAGTGGGCCAGGGCCACGCAGGAAACCAATGTGGTGAGTGACCTGCTGGCTGGGACAGTCTTGCTAACGGAATTGTCTTGAGCTCCGTAAAGACTCAGGGTCACCAAAAGTGTGGCCCATTCTCTCTGTCTGGGCTCACTCCAGAGAACACCGTGGACACCCACTGTCATTTGGGAACTACATGTTGGGGCCTGTTGTGTCTGCTGGACCAAGAGCTCTCCAGTGCCTGGTATAGTGTCTGGCTTGTGGTGGGCACTTAATAAATGCAAATTGAAGAATGGAGAGGAAGAGTTACGGTGATGAGAAGAGGGAGTGCTGACCTTAAAGGGTCTGATGGACGGTGGTCTTCAGAGCACTGTGGCCCCGGGCAGGGACAGGACTGTAGGTGGGAGGCTCCCCTGAGCCTCCTGCACGCCCCGCTGTCAGTTCCTGTCATCTCCCTCTGGCCCAGCTGATGGCAGTTGGGGGCCCGCTTGGCAGCCTTATGAGATCCCTGGGCTTCAGCCCAAGACTCCTAGTAGTGACAGTTCCATATACAGTCTGCGTGTGTGTGTGTGTGTGTGTGTTTCAGAATTAAGTTTTGACACCTGGCATTTGAACAACACCAATTCATGAAGTTCTAGGCAAGAGGGACCTGGGCAAGAGGTTCTAGGGTGGTCGGTCTTGAGATTTGTTTGTTGGGTGAAACTGTTCTGGGCATTTATGGGAGATTCTGCCTTTGTAGGTAATCCCTTTATAGTCTCACTTTATAAAAATCATGGTAATGCTTTCTTGCATTTTCCTCTGACACAAGTACAACATTAAGATGGTATCTGCATTATCCCATTCAACCTGAATGGTCATCTTACCAGCTTGCAGTTATTATCTCCACCCAACAGATGAACAAAGCAGAGCACAGAGGGCTAGGTTCTTTTGCTCTAGATCACATTGATGGTCTGACTCCAAAGCCTGTGCTCTGGTCCCAAGTAAGGTGTGTTTCGATAACCAGACCCCTCCAGAATAAATTGATGTCCTTTCTCAAGCATCATTAGAAGGCCCTAGAAGTGAGGCTTGAGCTAAGGAATAATAAGTCAGTGTTTCTGAAGAAGCAAAACTGAGCCCAAGGCACTCATTGAGGAGAATTGTCAGCAATAATCCCCCAGCCCAAATCTATTGTTTTGCCAAAATGTAGTAAAAATCAAGTGTAAAATCAAGTGTAATTGTCCACCAGGGGCTGGTTCTCAAATAGTCTTGACTTTTATTCTAGCTGACTCCCTTAAAAAGAAAAAAAAAAAAAAGTTAGAAACAATCCAGCTGGTTGGTTTGTTCTCATTTAAAATTCTAAGACTTCCAGTCTCCATACCAAAATGGTGATGAGAGTTGGCTGTTGCTGACCTACTTTAGGGGGTGAGTTGCAGAAACTGTCAGGGACAGGCAGGCCAGTCTTCCTGCTGGCCTCTCAGAGCTAAACTGCGGCCCCTTTCCCCATTTGCTATCCTGTTAGGGAGAGGCCTTGCAGCCTTGCCAGGGAGTCTCTGTGGCCGGTTAAGAAATCAGGCAAAACTAGAGTATTACCAATACTACCATGACTGTGCTCCTGGGAAAAAGGCCCAGGAATGAGGATCAGGAGTTACTTAACAGAGGCCTCATGACCATGACAGCTTATGAAAGACGCCGTGGCTGTTGTGTGTGTAAATGTGTCCTGAGATGCTTGTCAGGCTAAGTTAGGTTGGATTTGTTGCTGAGAGGCAATGTGTCTTGTCTCAAGAGCTCCCTCTAGCAATGGATGACTTCTGTAAGCCTACATGGAACCAAATCAGGTTCACCCTGTCTGATAGCAATGTTGAAGATTTTACCCTGTAGAGAAAAGAGCACAAAGAATTACCAGTGAAATTTCTTCCTCCTGCTGAAGGGAGGAAGTGTGTATAAGGAGGGGTTGCATGTGTTAATTAGAAAGATGGGGTAACTGGGTGATGTGCGTTAAGGAGGGCACGTGATGTGATGTGCACTGGGTGTTATACGCAACTAATGAATCATTGAACACTACATCAAAAATTAGTGATGTACTATATGTTGGCTAATTGCATTTAAATTAAAAAAAAAAGAAGAAGAAATTTGCATTCTACACAGAGAAAGAAAGAAAGAGAGAGAGAGAGAAAGAAAGAAAGAAAGAAAGAGAAAGAAAGAAAGAAAGAAAGAAAGAAAGAAAGAAAGAAAGAAAGAAAGAAAGAAAGAAAGAAAGAAAGAAAAGAAAGGCTTTTTACCCAGAGGACACATGGTGTGGGCTAGGGAGTGAGTGTGCTGGAGCAGAGAGTGTGTCATGTTCCTTATATTCCTGGACTATTTGCTGGTCTTAGAACTTCATAAAGACCAAGTTTACTGGTATTTTTTGAGTTCTGGGTGGTACATACAGTGGAGACATGCCTAGGATAGTTCTTTTTGAAAATTATTTTCAGTGTCAGTCAAAAGGAGCCCCCAAAAGCATTTGGAGTTGCTGGAAGGGCAGATGGAACCATTACATTTTTCCTTTAAAATATTTTTTACTTCATTTCCAGGTACCGAAATAGTGTACGTTTCCAGTGGTACAGAAACGTATATAGTAAGGGTAAAAGTTATCTTACTCTTTCGGGAAGAATCAGTGGGTTGCTATGTATTTTTCTACATCGGTTTTCATGCACATATAAAAATGAAATTTTATTTCCATTCAACAAATATTTATTGAGCACCTACGGTGTGCTAGGTACTATTCCAGGTGCTGGGAATGCAGTAATGAAATAAAAAGGTAAAAATCTTAGGAGGAGGGAGCCAGATCACAAACCAATAAAGAAGGAAGTATATCGTGTAGTCAGTGGTGGTAAGGGTATGTGAAGGGTAAGCAGGGCAGGGGAATAGAATGTGGCAGGGGAGGGGGATGGCTGAGGAGGAACATACACCACCCCCCCCCCCCCAGCAAATGTAGACTATGGTCGGAGACGTGGTTGTTGCAGAGTCATTTGGACAGAGTCCCAGCTGAAGGATGCAGCAAGTACCCAAAACCCTGAGGCAAGGGGAAGAAGGCCAGAAGGATAGCTGCAGGAGAGGGGAGAGGGAGGAGGTCAGAGCAGTAGCCAGGGGCCAGATCACGTAGGAATGGCAAGCCGGGTGAGGACTCTTGACTCTGAATATGAGTGAGAAACAAAGCCAGTGAAAAGTTTGAGTAGAGGGGCAACAGGGTTTCTGACTTAGGCCTTAAAAGAATAACTTTGAGGGCGCCTGGGTGGCTCAGTCGTTAAGCATCTGCCTTCAGCTCAGGTCATGATCCCAGGGTCCTGGGATCGAGCCCCGCATCGGGCTCCCTGCTCTGCGGGGAGCCTGCTTCTCCCTCTCCCACTCCCCCTGCTTGTGTTCCTGCTCTCGCTATGTCTCTCTCTGTCAAATAAATAAATAAAATCTTAAAAAAAAAAAAAAGCATAACTTTGACAGCTATCGGCTTATGTATGAAAAAAACATATTTTAAAAACATATATCAATATATGGGGCACCTGGGTGGCCCAGTCGGTTAAGTGTCTGACCCTTGATTTCAGTTCAGGTCATGATCTCAGGGTTGTGAGATCGAGCCCTGTACTGGGCTCCACACTGGGCCTGGAGCCTGCTTGGGATTCTCCCTCGGCCCTTCCACCCACCTTAAAAAATATATATCAATACAATTTGAATAGTGCTGGGTTGTTTCTAATGATAGAGTAGATCATGAGCACCCATCTGTGCTAATAGAGGAATTACCTTATTTCTTTTAAAGCTTCCTAGTCTGTATTTGTTCTAAGATACCAGTATTTATTAACCATACCCCTGTTGGTGAACCTTCCTAATTTTTTAACTACAAACAATGCTGCACAAAGATTCTTTTTTTGCGCACGTGGCCAACATGTTTGAAATGTCGTAGAAGTCCACTTATTGGGTCAAAGACATGCAGACTTAAAACTTTAATAGACACTGCCAAATTCTCCTCCAAAAAGACCATGCCTCCACAGATTCCCTCCAACCTTGTAGCTGAGTGGTCATTGTCCCACATCATTGCTAACATGGGTTGTTTATCATTGATATTTTTAATTTTTGCAAATCTAAGCAAAAATGATAGTCAAATGTTAACTTGTTTTTCTTAGATTATTTAGTAAAACAGTATGCCGTCATAAGCCTGTGGCCATTTGGATTTCTTCTGAGAATATCCACATTCTCTGCCTATTTTTCCACTGAATTGTTTATTTTTCCAATATCACTTAAAAAATAAATTTTAAAGTCCCAAGTCATCAAAGAACATAATCACTTCTGACCAATTAAACACTTTTTTTTTAAAGATTTTATTTATTTATTCATGAGAGATAGAGAGAGAGAGAGAGAGAGGCAAAGGCAGAGGGAGAAGCAGGATCCCCACTGAGCAGGGAGCCCGATGCGGGACTCAATTCCAGGACCCTGGGATCATGACCTGAGCCGAAGGCAGACGTCCAACCGACTGAGCCACCCAGGTGTCCCAACACTTTCTTTATTATAGTCATTTTTGCATAGAAAAGTCTCATTCATTTGGCATGTAAGGACTTTGGGGACAGCCTGCTGCAGGTGAGCTTTGTACCATCTGTGATCAATTCTAGCAAGATGGCAAAAAAAAAAAATAGTGATTATTTTCTCTGAGGAACAAATTCCTTAAGCTCCATAGTTAATTCATAAAGTCTTTTATACCTAAAGAAAAATTAATGATTACATGGGTTTCTATATATCTTTCATAGCTATTTATCCCTTCATAAAGGATGAATTATTTAAGGAATATACTTGCCTAAATATATATTTTAGTATTTGATTATTCTTAAAACTTGCTGAAATTTTTAGAAGACACAATCCAGGCAACTGGCAAACTGGGAAGTATTTTGTGCCTGGGTTCTTGAGAGAGACTGGGAAGGTTTAATTCAACTTTCAAGAGCAGTAGCTTTCCTCTGCAGTGTTGAGAAAAATTAATTCAACCAGTATATATTCAGATATCACTCTGTGCCACTCTGAACTTGGGATGAAGCAGTGAGAACATAATG